AACGTCGATTAATTGAAAAATCGAAAAATTAACAATTTATAAATGTCAAATTTGAAAAATTGAAAAATCGAAAATTTGAAAAAACGACAATTGAAAAATAGAAAATCTAAAACCGGAAAGTCGAAAAATCGAAAGATTAACAAATCGATACATTTGAAAAATTGAAATATGGAAGAACTAAAATGAAAAATCGAGAAATAGAAAAATCTAAAATTTTAAATATTGAAAAATTAAAATACAAAAAAATTGAGAAATCTAAAATTTAAAAATCGAAAAAGTAAAAAGTCGACACATCGAAAAATCCAGAAGTCAAAAATGGAAAAGTCAAAGAACAGAAATATTGAAAAATCCCAAAACTGAAATATCGAAAAACAGAGAAAAGTTAAAAATTGAACAATTTATAAAAGATAAATCGAGAAATCAAAAAACTTAAAATTCGAAAAATTTGAAAAATTGAGAGATTGAATGATCAAAAGAACGAGAAATTGAAAAGTGATGAAGTCGAAAAATTGAAAAATAGAGAAATCGACAAACAAAAAGTTTAAAGTTGAAAAATTGAAAAAGCGGAAAAATAAAAAATTGAAAAACTGATAAATCGAAAACCTGAACAATCAAATCTCGATAAATCGAGAATGAAAAATTAAGAAATTGAAACATTGAAAAACAGAACCTCTAAAACCAGGAAGTCGAAAAATGGAAAGACTAAGAAATATTGAAAAACTAAAATATCAAAAGATGGAACAATCTATAATTTAAAAATCCAAAAACTGAAAAATCGAAAAAGTAAAACACATCGAAAAATCCAGAAGTCAAAAATAGAAAAACCGAAGAATTGAAATATTGAAAAATCCTAAAACTCAAATATCTAAAAATTGAAAAATCGAAAAATCAAAAAAGTGAAGTCGAAAAATAGAAACCTTAAAAAATCGAAAAATTGAAAAATCAAAAACCTGAAAAATCAAAAAATTAAAGAATTGAAACAGAAAAATCGAAACACTCGAAGGTCAAGAAATGGGAAAATCAAAACATCGATTAATTGAAAAATCGAATAATTGAGAGTTTATAAAAGTCAAATTTGAAAAATTGAAAAATCGAAAATTTGAAAAAACGACAATTGAAAAACAGAAAATCTATAACCGGAAAGTCGAAAAAATCGAAAGATTAAGAAATCGAAACATTTGAAAAATTGAAATATGGAAGAGCTAAAATGAAAAATCGAGAAATAGAAAAATCTAAAATTTTAAATATTGAAAAATTAAAATACAAAAAAATTGAGAAATCTAAAATTTAAAGTCAAAGTCGACACATCGAAAAATCCAGAAGTCAAAAATGGAAAAGTGGAAGAACAGAAATATTGAAAAATCCCAAAACTGAAATTTCGAAAAACTGAAAAATGAAAGAAAAGCTGACGAATCGACAAACTGAAAAATTCCAAAACTGAAACATCCAAAACTCAAAATCTAAAGAATCGAAAAATTGAAAAATCAAAAATCTGCAAAATCGTAAGATCGAAAAATTGAATAATAAGTAAACTGAAAAATCCTAAAACTGAAATGTCGAAAAACTGAGAAATTAAAAAATTGAAAAATTGAGAAATCGAAAAATCAAAAAAGTGAAGTTGAAAAATCGAAACCTGAAAAAATAGAAAAATTGAAAAACCAAAAAACCTGAAAAATCAATAAATTGAAAAATCCACAAATAAAGAGTTTATAAAAGTCAAAAATTGAAAAATCGAAATATTTGAAAATCGTAAAATTGAAGAGAAAAACTGAAAACTGAGAAATTGAAAAATTGAGAAATTAAAAATTAAATAATAAATAGGAGTAAACTGAAAAGTAAACTAAAATTTCGAAAAACTGCGAATTCCAAAGTTGAAACAGCAGGAAATCATAGGTTGGGATGTGTATCAGATCATGAATTAAAGTGAAGGAAACAGTAAGCAGCTTGTAATATTCTGGTAAATCTAGTGTCAATTTGTCGAAAGCAAAACGCGTCGTTAAAAATATTATTACATTTTTTCTATTGTCTTTGCCAATTCTATTGAAACACCACCTGTTGATTTTGCTTAAAATTTAGCAATTGGTAACAGCTTTCGGTTGATTGACAACGGCTTTTAGTTAGAAAATTGTCTGAATATGAACGTTGCCAAATTTACGATTAACAAATGGTGTTTCAATATAAATGGCAAAGACTTTAGTTAGAAACAAACACTGTTGCCAACATAAGTCGACCACTCCTCAAACGTCATTTCATTTAAACTACGGCCTGCTACGGCATGCTCTATCTATACTTGTATTCAATATCTTTGGTTGTGACGTAAAAATCTTAGGTTAGAACTCTGCCCTTTTGAACATGAATTAAACATAGTAGTGTTTAATATCACGAGAATAATCTTCATTAACACTACTTTAACAATATTTAAAAGGTAACCAACATTGCAATTGCTTTCGTAGTGTAATAAAACAATTTTAGGTAGCCACAATGTCGACTTTGGAATATTCGAAAGCACTCGTTGCACACGGAAGATCTTCATGGAAAAACGTCCACAACTGTAAACTGTGCCCCTATTTTACAACGTCGATTTTATGTATGGTGAACCACGTGCGAGGACATCGCTCATCTCTGGAAAAATTTGCATGCTCCAAAGCCAAAATCGAAGCGTATTATTGTAAAGACTGCGATTTTAAAACGGATCTAACGATTCCGTTCAAACAACACATTAACAAACATCACGGCCTTAAGACTGAATCTAGAGAGGATTTGTCAATCGAGGACTTCACTATACAAAACTACGTTTGCGAAAAATGCGCCTTCGAAACGAATTCCTTGATAAAAAAGCTTCAACACACTTCTACATGCACGGAAAGGAAAGAAAATCGTTTGAGTTCTTCGAGCCAGAATGTCACGTATAAAAAAAATGGTGAATGGTACAAGTGCAAAAAATGTAATTACAAAACTAAATTTAAAAGTCGTTTAAAAAAACACGTGTATTACGTACACTCGCGGGCAGAGGACATTCAATGGCACGAATGCACGGAGTGTCCATTCAAATCTAAGTATAAGGTATCTTTAAGGAGGCACTTCAGTGTGAAACATGCAGACAAAGAAAAAATTAAATGGTACGAATGCGAAAAGTGCCCGTACAAAACTAAATATCGCTCGACTTTAAAACATCACGTGCTTTATCATCATTCGAATGAAGAAGTTAAGTGGTACGAATGTGCAAACTGTTTGTTTAAAACTAAAATAAAACATAGTTTAAAACTGCATATAACTGCTCGTCATTCAGATATAAAATCACTTCAGTGCAAATCATGTCTATGTAAGGCTAAGGTAGTGGGTCATTCAAAGGAGTATATATACAACCACCATTCTAATTGTAAGCTGTACAAATGTGAACCGGATGATGAATGGCACAAGTGCGAAAAATGTCCTTTTAAAACTAGATTAAAAAATAATTTAAAAAGGCACATTAATAACATACACTCGCAAGCCGAAAACGTTAAATGGTACGAATGCGAGAAATGTCCGTACAAAACTAAACATCACTCGAATTTCAGTTATCACGTGATTTCTACACATGTGAATGAAGAAGAAGTTCAGTGGTACGAATGTGCGAACTGTTCGTACAAAAGTAAAAGTAAACAATATTTGATAAGGCATATTAGTGGTCGCCATTCAGATATCAGATCATTTCAGTGCGAAAATTGTCCATATAAAGCGAAACTCAGCAGGCACTTAAAGCGGCATATAAACATCCGCCATTTGGATGAAGCGGATGCTAAGTGGTACAAATGCGAACAATGTTCTCATGGAACTAAAGATATATCAGCTTTCTATAAGCACAAAAAAGTACATGTGTAGGATTTAATTTTGTATAATTTTGGTGTAGTAGCATTAAGCTGTGTATATAACTTTAATAAAGAAAGATTGTATTTTTTTTAAAGAAGTACATAAATGTTAATCATTCGGAAAAACCGAAACGGTATGTATGTGCGAAATGCTCTTATAAAAGTAAAACGAAAAATAATTCGAAAGGGCATGTAAAGGTCCATTTGGTTGGAACGGACATTAAGTGATACAAATACGATCAGTGTTCTTACAAGGTTAAAAATGGATCGGTTTTGTATAAGCACAAGAAAATACACGCCTAAGATTTAATTTATTGTAAGTTTTTAATGGTAGGGATTTTGCGTGTAAAAACCGTAGATCATATAATAATATGTAATTATATGATTTAAAAATGAAAATATTGGTTCCCCTAATTATTTTGGAGTAACACATCAAATGCAATTTATGTCTTATGGTATTAAAATAAAAACATTTCGGCTGTTGGAATGTTTGACTTGATTTATTAGTCTGGTTCAAGGTACAAGGTCACTTATGTCAATAGAGAAATTCACAAACTATTGGCACAGTATAGATATCAATCAGTAGAGACAGCTTGTGTCGAGCATACGGTATTTGTGCCTAAGAACCTGTATGTATGCGCATGCCTGAGCTGTCATTGAAAAACCCGGTAAATTCAAACGTAGGTGTTTACACTTGTCATTTAAAAAATGTGGTAAATTGAAATATATGTAATCTCGGCGAATTACCAAATGGATTAACCCCCAGTTATCACAACAGAATTAGTATCGAAATGATAAATATAATTCATAATAAGTTGATCATCGTTTGTGTTTGCGTATAACCTGCCTTAAAATTTAATATTAATGTACTTAGGGTCACACCAAAAACTGTATAATCATGCTTTCCTCCAGACATACCTACTTGCATTGAATAACCAACGTATGTGATTATAATTGTATATGATTGTTGCTTCTTTTACCCAACATAATGAAACTTAATAATACAACTTTAGTTTTTTTTATTAATTAATGTGCTATTTCAATCAAGCGTAACATACAAAAAACGCATAAAATAGAAATGTATTTGTAAAAAATGTGTATTTGCTTTATAGAAATAATCTGAATCAACAAAAAATACAACAACAGAATTCATCTTTACCTAACAGAAAAATACATAGTAATAGTAGCAGTAATAAAAATTATAATTACTAAATTGTAGAAATAAAATTTTCATCCTATTATTTATAAAGGTGATTCTATGAGAACCTATTAATAACCCATGTTACAAAAATCCACTCATTTCTCTAGTGTTGCTTCATATTTGTTCACTTACGGGATAATATTGCTGCGTCTCTTGCACTCTTTTCTTTGTTAAAGTCTTCTCGTTTTTTTTTCTTAACCATCCATCAATATTGCTCATCAGTTCTTTAAAATCATCTATGTTAAGTGCATTCAAAGTGTTATTAAGCGACTCCTGCTTTAATTTTCGAAAAGTTTCATCATCCAATGGCAACGGTGTTTGCTGATTATTTTCTATTAACATTTTTACTTCTTCATTTTTCTGCATATCACAATGATTGTGTTCATTTTCTGTTTCCATTAATACTCTCTTCCAATAATTATGTTCTTCTATATCTGTAAAAGTGTCTTTAGTCTGCCCTAACCCACATTCATACCGTTCCCTTTCAAACAAAGCAACCATATGCATGTTATTTTTTACCATAAACTCAGGACACTGGCATTTGTAATGATGCAAACAGATTTGGCAAACTACACAATACGTGAGCCTACAATCATTTCTACACACTCTGTCTCCATACACAACCTTATAAATCTTACTGGAATTAGATCTTACTGAAAACTCTCCAAAACCAACTTCCTCCACCATATTTTGTAAATTTTCTGCTTTTCTATGTCTGTCTCTTACAATTCTGCTTTGATACGTTTCTGTAGAAGGTCTTTCTCTTTCTATTATTCTGTTCCATTCCTTGTCTTCCACTACTCTGTCTAACATTTCCAATAACTTCTCTATTGTATTATTTCTCTTCTTATTCAACTCATCATATTTAATAAATTTGTTCAGACTTTCAATTGCCATATTTGTATTAATCCCAGCATTTAGTCTGTAACAGTGAGCCCACATTTTAATACGTTCCATATTCTGAAAATAATGTTTTTTTAAATAATTCAAAAAATTAATTTCCCCCGCTTCAAAAAGTATCTGAAAATAACTGTCGTATAGCTCTTTAAATTTATCTTCATTTGTTTCCTTTAAAATTTTTCCCATCTCGGTCTTCATATTTTTCTTCAATTCTGTATTTTTTAATTTTGCTTGAATGTTCCAATTTTTTCTAATATGCCAACTACACAACAAATGTCTTGGTTTTGTTTCCATAACGTTTATCCATGCATTATAATATTTTGGGTCATCATCTGTCATAAAATAGGTGGGACATAATTTTTCACCAACTTTTTTCTTTAAAGCATCTAAAAAAATTTCAAAAATTAACTGATCTTTTCTACTAGACACTAAAAATGCAACGGGAAAACCAACACCCCTATCATCTTTAACTAAAACTGTTGTTAACTCCCATCCTCTAATATTTGTGTTGTGCGTCCCATCCATACAAATAATATTTGTGAATTGTTTCAATTTAGATTCCATCACCTGGTTCATAAAGCCCACTGCAAAATCTTCATCTCTAAGAATGGAATGCCTTTCCCCTACAAGCCAAGCTAAGCATGTGCTAAACAACCAACACCACCAACTACAATCTACATGCATGAATATTTCTCTTAATTCACAGATTTTAAACAAAAATTTTACCTAATTGTAAAAAACCACATGCTAACAAAATAATAATCATATACCTTACCAATTTGTTTAAATAAAAACCCATAATTTTGGCCACTTTGATTCCATTCATGGAAAACCTTTATTGTGTGTTGCAGCCATATCATCAGCATTTCTAGTTTTTGATAAACTTTGACTCATGTTTCTCAAATCCATTTTTGTTAATAAGTGTAGTCTTTCCAATTTATCCCCTTTAATGGTCCGAGCATCTTCTAATATTCTCTTTTTACATACTTCATTCGTCAATTTTGAATAAATTTCTTGTTTTTCATTTTTTGTCAACCCTTGATATCTCAGCTCATCTTCATGTCCTACATGTGTTTTTATATATTAAATTTTCACAGTTCCTATAAACAATTGATGCAATTAATATACAGTAAAGTGTGCACATAGATAACATACCTTCATCAAAAATTTTTGCAGTGATTCTTGATGGACAAGTACCACAGATTTTCTTGCAACCCCCTGCCTTTGGAAATCTCTTAAACGCTTTACTTTCATAGCCTAAAATGTCCAATAATACAATATATTCTTAACAAATTACAATAATAATGTACCATTGTAGCTTCTGTTGCAGTTATAATATATCAGCTGATAGCGGTAACGCACATCTTTCTTTTGCTTTCGGCTAATATATTTAACATCTCTTCGTTCTTCGCAAATCCAATTTTTAAAACCTTCATGACTTAGTATCAATTCTTCTACCTCTAATGTTATATTATGCTTTATTTCAAGATGAGTTTTGAGTTCTTCATGGGATTTCAAATTTCTCTCTGGTTCATCCCCACACATTGGACAAAAAATCTTTGTTTTGCAAATCCTACCAACACTTTGATCACGGTGAAAACGCCTAAAATGTCTATTCCTGGAAGTAACAAAATTAAATTGTTTGTCACAGACAGAACACTTTATGGATTCCATTCTGGAAGAATATAGAAAAAGCGCGTTCAGACTATAGTGACAGCAATTAATGATGTTTTGCCTTTCCCGCCTTTTTGTAATGACACTAGGCCAACTGTTTTTCGAAGTTGGCAGTCCTGAATGTTCTTATGCACAAATACCGTATGCTCTTGTGTCGGCGCCTTTGTTCTTTCTGACCCGAATTTTAAGCCATCTTGGGTGGTCGTTGCCTAAACTATTCCTAGATGTCGCCACCCAATTTAAAAAGTATCACTTCATTTACAATTTCAAAAATTGATGCGTGTACGCAATTTATTGCAAACTGTGTAGTTTGCTCAAAATCGCGAATCGCAATAAGAAAAAAGAAAAGTCCATATTTAATTTATAAACACGATGATTTGTTACAGTTTTTATTTTATTACTTAGGTATACAATTTGACAATTCGCACATTCTTTCCCCGAATACTTGAGGTTTAATTATCATTGTAAAAATAATGTAATAAATACATCTAAAAAGAAAGAGGTTTATTTAAGAAAAAATAAATAAAATAAAAATTAAATTACAAAAAGGAAAAAAGTTAATGCTGCCAAATAAGCCACTTTTTTAAAAGTAAAAAAAATCTTCAAAGTCTGAGTTCTCGGGGCCAGAATGTCACGTACGAAGAAAATATTGAATGGCTCCAGTGTGAAAAGTGTCCTTTCAAAACTGAATTCAAAAAAAGTTTAAAAGGACATATGTATCACCTACACTCGCGGGCAGAAGACGTTAAATGGTTCGAATGCAAGGTGTGTCCATTCAAATCTAAGTATAAGGAATCGTTAAGGAGGCACTTCAATGTGAAACATGCAGAGGAAGAAAAAATTGAATGGCACAAATGCGAAAAGTGCCCGTTCAAAACTAAACATCGCTCGACTTTAAATTATCATCGAATGTGGGAACTGTTCGTATAAAACTAAAAGAAAAACTCATTTAAAACTGCATATAACTGTTCGCCATTCAGATATCAAATCATTTCAGTCCCAATATTAAGACATTGAATTTTACGAATGTGAAAATTGTGCATTTAAAACCAAAAATAAATATACTTAAAAAAAACACAAATTTATTTCATTTAGAAGACGGTAGCACCCCAAGAGTACCTAGACGAACAGGTCGTTACGGTCGCAAGCTCGCAGTGAATTTCGCCAGCTCGACTAGGAACCGCGCACTCCGCTTCTGCCACGTATTTCGGTATTATTTACCTCAATTCAATTTTAAATGTTCAATTTCTATGACTCTGATATTAACGACAACTGAACAAGTGTTAAAGTTTCAAAAAGAAAAATTTTAAATAATAAATAATTCTTATGCGAGATAAAATTAAAATTGTCGTTAAACAAATGCTTCCTCCTCTTTATTAAGTACCAAACCAACTAATTTAACCTGGCTAACTTAGAGCGTCTTTTCACCATACTCTCACTCACGAAACCCAAACAACAATGACGCAATTCACATCCCTCCACAAAGCGGCCATCTTTTCTACCAACCAACCCTCTGAAAAAAAATATACAACGGGTGGGTGGGCGGGGCTAAATTGTACTTTTTCCTACTTTGCTAGTTTTTGTTTTGTAAATATTATAATGTCGAGAAAGCACGTGCTTTTTCACACCCAACGGTCACATAGTTTTGAACGGTTAATCTTCACACTCGTACCACCTAATTTTTTCTTCGTTCAGATGTTTAGCCATTACGTGCTCCTTTAAGGATTTTTTATGCTTTGTTTTGAAGGGACACTCTTCGCAGTCGTACCATTTAACGTCTTCTAAATGAAATAAATTTGTGTGTGTTTTTTTTAAGTATATTTATTTTTGGTTTTAAATGCACAATTTTCACATTCGTACCATTCATTGTCTTAATATTGGGACTGAAATGATTTGATATCTGAATGGCGAACAGTTATATGCAGTTTTAAATGAGTTTTTCTTTTAGTTTTATACGAACAGTTCCCACATTCGTACCACTTAACTTCTTCTTCACTCAAATGTTGACAAATCACGTGATAATTTAAAGTCGAACGATGCTTGGTTTTGAACGGGCACTTTTCGCATTCGTGCCATTCAATTTTTTCTCCCTCTACATGTTTCGCATTGAAGTGGTTCTTTAAAGATTCTTTATACTTAGATTTGAATGGACACTCCTTGCATTCGTACCATTTGACGTCTTCTGCCCGTGAGTGTACGTTTTTCGTGTGCCTTTTTAAATTCTTTTTTGATCCAGTTTTGAAAGGACATTTTTCGCACTTGTGCCATTCACCATCCCGTCCACATTTGTACCGCTTACAATCGGAATGCTGAAGTGATTTGGTATCTGAATGGCGAGCATTTATATGCAGTTTTAAATTATTTTTTCTTTTACTTTTATACGAACAGTTGGCACATTCGAACCACTTTACTTCTTCTTTACTCAGATGTTGATTAATCACGTGATAATTTAAAGTCGAGCGATGTTTGGTTTTGAACGGGCACTTTTCGCATTTGTGCCATTCAATTTTTTCTTCCTCTGCATGTTTCACATTGAAGTGCCGCCTTAACGATTCCTTATACTTAGATTTGAATGGACACACCTTGCATTCGTACCATTTGACGTCTTCTGCCCGCGAGTGTAGGTAATACATATGTCCTTTTAAACTTTTTTTGAATTCAGTTTTGAAAGGACACTTTTCACACTGGAGCCATTCAATATTTTCTTCGTACGTGACATTCTCGCTCAGAGAATTCAGACTTTGAAGATTTTCTTTCCTTTCCGAGCATTCTGAAGTATGTTGAAGCCAATTTATCAAGGAATTTGTTTCGAAGGCGCATTTTTTGCAAACGTGGTTTTGTATGCTGAAGTCCTCGATTGACAAAACTTCTCTAGATTCACTCTTAAGGCCGTGATGTTTGTTAATGTGTTGTTTAAACAGAATCGTTAGATCCGTTTTAAAGTCGCAGTCTTTACAATAATACGCTTCAATTTTGGCTTCGGAGCATGTAAATTTTTCCAGAGATGAGCGATGTCGCCTCACGTGACTCACCATACACAAAATTGATGTCGTAAAATAGGGGCACAGAGTACAGTTGCGGACGTTTTTCCACGAAGATCTTCCCTGTGCAACGAGTGCTTTCGAATATTCCAAAGTCGACATTGTGGCTACCTAAAATCGTTTTCTTACACTACGGAAGCAATTGCAATGTTAGTTACCTTTTAAATCTTGTTAAAGTAGTGTTAATGAAGATTATCCTCGTGATATTAAACACTACTATGTTTAATCCATGTTCTAAGAGGGTAGAGTTCTAACCTAAGATTTTTACGTCACAACCAAAGATATTGAATATAAGTATAGATGGAGCATGCCGTACATTTCTCTAATGACACAAGTGACCTTGTACCTAGAACCAGACCATAGTATATCATACAGTAGAGACAGCTCGTCAAATATTGGAACAACGTGTCCTTACCCAACCGTTTTGATTAGGCGGGATTTTTGAAACGAAGTGGAATATTGGTTGCCTAAATTACAAATACAGATCGTCCGTAAAACAATGTAAAAGGAACGAATATAAACATCGGATGAATATTAATAAACTGAAACCAATTTTTGGAGTGTGTTATGAAGAGTTAATTTCAGCATAAACGTATCAACTACCTATTTTGTCAACGCCTTCAATTTTCGCCAAGTGTGAACCGTTTGAAGAGTCAGAAAGTGAACGCTGTTATTTTCATCTTCCCTGGGAAAAGTACTTTGATGTTTTTGGTTGAATTTTTGTTGTTAGTTAAATTAGTGAAGTGATTCTGAGAACCTTTTCATAGTAACATGGACTACAGTGGTAGACCACCTCGTGATTGCAGGCACAATGAAAAAACCTGCTTCAGGGGCTTCTTTAATTTCCCTTGGAATCTGTAAGATAAGAAATATAAAGAAGTATATTATTCTATAATCAATAAAAAATTATTTTGTATGCAATTTTTACAGCACAGTGAAAATGCCAATAGTTGTAATGATTTAGGATCTATTTTACTAGCAATTGAATCTAAAGATAGTAACCAGTGTCAAATGATTAATACAGTTTTAACCTGAACAACTTTTGCACATAAATCTGTCGAAGTAAATATGACAGACTACAGACATTTGGACATGGGGGAACAAAATTCTTTAAGTTATGTCTGTGGATACTTAATGAAAAAATGCTTGATGAAATATACCTGTGAAACATGTAGTTATTTTGCCGTTGCACGTAATGTCATCATATATGATAAACTTCTCTGTCACTTCAACGCCTTTGATGATGATCCACCATTTGGTAATCCCAAAGCTGGACATTCACGTTCCAACGCTGCAGTACAATTGTATTTGATGCAACTGTTGTACAATTCTGTTAAAAAGCAGCAATACACACACACGTTACGACCTTGCAGTTAAAAATTTGCGATCGTGATGACAACATGTCCGACAAAATGACGAAAATGTACTTTTATAGCTGCTCTCACGGTTTGAATAACATACACTGTCGAGTCATGTCCACACATGATCAAATTTCCATCCAATACAACACGATTGTACTGCTGCAGACAGACTTGTTCACCAACCGTCCACATCCAACCGATTTGCTTGATCGCATACACATACGTTCAAAAACACTTCAATTTCGTCGTATCCAACACAATTGTACTGCGGCGTTGGAACGTGAGTGGCGGGCTTAAGATGCTACATGAAGCATTCACCTTTTATGTTGCAGCCCTAGAAAAACGATTTGTTTCACTATTTTCTGCCAACTCAATTTTACTTTCATGTCGCCGATAAATAAAAGCAGTCCTCGTAACTGTGTCCATACCAGCATACCACATCCCTGTGCCCTGTGTACAGTTTCCACAAGATTATTTATTCTATTTATTTGTTCGAACGCGCATTTTCTATTCAGTAAAAATAATAAATCACAGTTACAATGTTAAATACCAAACATCTAAAATGTCAAATTTGACGCACAATGTTGACATGGTGGTAAATTTTATTTAGTAACAAGGTTTGCCACTACAGTTTCTAGCCCAAATTCAAGGTCATGTCCTTACCCAACGGTCGATTATTGTTGTTCTAGTCCGTTACGTGCATTTCTTATGGGCCTTTGAAAAGCTGTCCTTACTGTATAATATTCTGTGCCTCGGCCTCAACCGTCATTTAATTTAAACCAGAGAACACATTTAAACTATGACGTCCTGTGCTATGACCCTTCTCTTTCTCTGGTAATAATTTTGTAATTATTTCTGCCAGAAAATTTGCATTTTTGGTATCGATTTTTTGTGTTTTAGGTGAAACGAGAACAATCACCCACTTATCCGCCTCGAATTGTATTTTTCAAAAAATCACGTCCTTTTTGACTTAAAAAGTTAGGTTAGAATTCTGGTCAGATGGTCAAAATTTCTAAACTGACACTCTTTGACGATTATCTCTGGAGATTTAGGCAAGCAAAATGTTGTATACTTTGGAGTATACTGAATCTCTTCGAACATGGAGAAGATCTTCATGGAAAAACGTCATGACCATACCCAACGGTCGATTATTGTTGTTCTAGTCCGTTACGTGCATTTCTTATTATGGGCCTTTCAAAAGCTGTCCTTACTGTATGGTATTCTGTGGTCAAACAATTTGAGTTTTCTACCAACCTCTCCAATGAAAAATCCTACACAAAATGTACGGGAAATGAGTGAATTTGTTCCAGACGCGCCACGACGCCAGAATTCTAACCTAAGATTTTTTCGTCACAACCAAAGATATAATATAAGTATAAATACAGCAGCTAAAACCAGGACACAGGAAGTCGAAGAATCGAAAGATTAAGAAATACTGAAAAATTAAAATAGTAAAAGATTTAAAAATCCAAAAATTGAAAAATCGAAAACGTAAAAAGGTAAACACATCGAAGAATCCAGAAGTCAAAAATAGAAAAGCCGAAGAATTGAAATATTGAAAAATCCTAAAACTGAAATATCTAAAAACCGAGAAATTGAAAAATTGAGAAATTGTAAAACCCAAAAATTGAATAATAAATAGGAGTAAACTGAAAAGTCCCCAAACTAAAATTTCGGAAAACTGAGAATTATAACGCGCATAACATAATTTACGTTTTTGGTTTGTGTCTGGCTTATGCTTATCTACGTTCACAGTGGACAGAGTGAACTCTGTAAGAATTATTAAACTGCGCAAACGCAGAACGGAATAACTCCCGGCTAAACATAGAAACGGCTAACCTCAAACTGAGTCAATCAAAATATCTAACCTACAATTTCATACGATATTCGAACTTGACAACTCGCAGTACAGAACAGGCTCGCAGTGTGAAGCTTTGATTATAATTTATATAATATAATCAAAGGTGTGAAGTGCCAAGTGTCAACTGTCAAAGGGAATTCAATAGCAGCATTCAAAAGTCCCTAGATTTTAACATAATTTTGACATAATTCGTGCACAAAGTTGAACTTGTTTCAACTTTGTGTACGCACACAAGGATTACATAAAACGTTCATAAGCATAAGAATTACGTTTGTCCACTGTGAACAGGGGTATACGTTTTCCATCGTATCAACTTTACGTATTTATGTAAGCTTTATGTACTTGTTATGCCTTATGTCCATTGTGAATGGGCAGTTATAGTATTTAACGTTATTAGGCCGATATTAAGCGTATAACAGTCGAGGATAATTGTTTGATAGCCGAGGCGTATAAATATTATCCGAGACTGTTATACGATTTATCGGCCGTATTTCGTTCAGTATTTTTCGTCATACCTAAACTGGTTAATTAAAAAATACTCATAAAAAATACAAATTTAAGAAACGAATCAGGTAGTCTCAACTTTTTATCCATAGTAACGGCATGTTTATAAACCAAAAATAAAATTTTGACATGTTGCGTAAAAATGTAGCTGTTTGTGAAATTCCCGAAGATATTCGCGATGAAGCGGCTGCTGCAAGTTTGGATTTATTGCCTCTGAAGACAAGTGTCAGGTATGAAAAGGAATATCAGGATTTTACAATATGGCGTAAAAAGAGAGGCGTTGAGAGGATTAGTGACGATATTTTGCTCTGCGACGCCTCACAATTGAGCAAAAATTTTTCGCCAAACAGCTTATGGACAAAAATTTCCATGTTAAAGACATGCTTGAAATTACATGAACATATCGACATTTATGGGCTAGTATTTTCCATTTTTAGTTATGTCTTATTACTCAAAAGTTACGTTTATTATAGATATGGAAAACTTTTTATGTTCCTGAAACGCAAATCTGAATTTTATAAACCAAAAAAGGCAAAAATCCTAACAAATGAGCAAATCATCAGATTTCTTCTGGAAGCACCAGATGACTACTTTTCGCTGGAGAAGGTTATTTTAGTGTTGTACTAATTTGTAATATATTGAAAAACGTGATGGAATAAATCTGATTAAAAATAATTATATTGTCAAATAAATAACGTTCACGGCTGTTATTATAACGTCCGTGGCTGTTATCGATGACATAACTTCCATGGAGACACTACGGATATGATCAAATAACAAAGAGGTATGACGAAATAGTTACTTATGTTACAAGTGTTGAAAACGGTCCATTGCATTACGAACGGGAATACGGCGCGAGACGCAGTCGAGCGCTGTATGTAAGTGAGTAATGCAATGGAGTTTTCACACGAGTATCATACAATATTTTTTGCGCTGCCTTTTTGAAAAAATAACATTTTTCAATCGCTAAAAGAATAAATATTTCTGAACCGAAATTATGTTGGTATTGAATTTATTACCAAATACGTCAAATACCAATCTGTCAATTTGTCCGGTCTAGATTTTTAATTTCAAAGTTGAAATGGAAAATCGTGCACGTATTCAGAAAATTGCAGATAAAGCAACTGCAAATTTGTTGCCTGCAAAATCCGCAGGTCCATATGAAGCCGAATATCAAAAATTCATCAAGTGGTGCGAAGAAAATAAAATACGCGAATTTTCTGAAACGACGCTCTTGGTTTATTTCCAAATTAAGTCGGAAATCATGAAAGCCTCCACACTGTGGACAATATATTCAGTTCTGAAAAGCACTCTTGGCATCAAACATAATATAAATCATTCGAAATTTTATAAGTTAACAGCGTTTTTAAAGCGGCAGAATGACACAAGCCCAAGAAGTCTGAAATACTTACCAGTGGAAACATTTATATTTACGGCTCCAGATCAGAGAGAATCTTGTGATTATGATTCAGCGTGAGGTTGCGAATAACATCAAGTTTAAACGGTTTTTTTAATTAACAAGAACTACTAACAAATAGTAATAACATAATAGTTGTCAACAACATAAACCAAACCATCGAATAGTGTCAACTGTCAAATTACTACAAATCCAAATTTTGATCAACAAATTCCCCTATTTAAGATTACAACTTAAATTGCGCTTTTTTAAAATTTCGAGCCACTTTTTGTTATAATAACTTTAGATACATGATTATCAATTAGTAGTAATTACTTTGTGATAATCAATTTATTTTTTCAAAGCTTAAATTCCTCGTTTGTATTTTGCGGCGCTAGATCCTTTTTCATTGCCATTACGACACGCCACGTGTCAACGTAAAATGTCAATTACAACTATGGCAGCGCAAAAAAAATATTATGACATTTTTTTCTAGTTAATTTTATTCCTAATGTCTTTGCCATTTCTATTGAAACACCACTTGTTGATCGTAAATTTGGCAACGTTCATATTCAGACAATTTTATAACTAAAAGCCGTTGTCAATCAACCGAAAACTATTAGCAATTGCTAAATTTTAGTCAAATTCAATAGGTAGTGTTTCAATAGAAATGGCAAAGACTTTAGTTAGAAACAAACACTGTCGCCAACATAAGTCGACCACTCCTCAAACGTCATTTCATTTAAACTACGGCCTGCTACGGCATGCTCTATCTATACTTGTATTCAATATCTTTGGTTGTGACGTAAAAATCTTAGGTTAGAACTCTGCCCTTTTAGAACATGGATTAAACATAGTAGTGTTTAATATCACGAGGATAATCTTCATTAACACTACTTTAACAAGATTTAAAAGGTAACCAACATTGCAATTGCTTTCGTAGTGTAATAAAACAATTTTAGGTAGCCACAATGTCGACTTTGGAATATTCGAAAGCACTCGTTGCACACGGAAGATCTTCATGGAAAAACGTCCACAACTGTAAATTGTGCCCCCATTTTACAACATCAATTTTGTCTATGGTGAACCACGTGAGGCGACATCGCTCCTCTCTGGAAAAATTTACATGCTCCGAAGCCAAAATCGAAGCGTATTATTGTAAAGACTGCGATTTTAAAACGGATCTAACGATTCTGTTCAAACAACACATTAACAAACATCACGGCCTTAAGAGTGAATCTAGAGAAGTTTTGTCAATCGAGGACTTCAGCATCCAAAACTACGTTTGCGAAAAATGCGCCTTCGAAACAAATTCCTTGATAAATTGGCTTCAACATACTTCAGAATGCTCAGAAAGGAAAGAAAATGTTCAAAGTCTGAGTTCTCTGAGCGAGAATGTCACGTACGAAAAAAATGGTGAATGGCACAAGTGCGAAAAATGTCCTTTCAAAACTAAATTGAAAATATGTTTTAAAAACCACATGAAAAACATCCACGCGCGGGCAGAAGACGTTAAATGGCACGAATGCACGAAATGTCCATTCAGATCTAAGTATAAGGAATCTTTAAAGAGTCACTTCAATTTCAAACATGCAGACGAAGAAAAAATTAAATGGCACGAATGCGAAAAGTGCCCGTTCAAAACTAAACATCACTCGACTTTAAATTATCACGTGATTAATCAACATTTGAGTAAAGAAGAAGTTAAGTGGTTTGAATGTACCAACTGTTCATATAAAAGTAAAAGAAAAAATAATTTAAAACTGCATATAACTGTTCGCCATTCAGATACCAAATCACTTCAACATTCCGATTGTAAGCGGTACAAATGTGGACGGAATGGTTAATGGCACAAGTGCGAAAAATGTCCTTTCAAAACTGGATCAAAAAAGAATTTAAAAAGACACATGAAAAACTTACACTCACGGGCAGAAGACGTCAAATGGTACGAATGCAAGGAGTGTCCATTCAAATCTAAGTATAAAGAATCTTTAAAGAACCACTTCAATGCGAAACATGTAGAGGGAGAAAAAATTGTATGGCACGAATGCGAAAAGTGCCCGTTCAAAACCAAGCATCGCTCGACTTTAACTTATCACGTGATTAATCAACATTTGAGTGAAGAAGAAGTTAAGTGGTACGAATGTGGGAACTGTTCGTATAAAACTAAAAGAAAAACTCATTTAAAACTGCATATAGCTGTTCGCCATTCAGATATCAAATCATTTCAGTCCCAATATTAAGACAATGAATGGTACGAATGTGAAAATTGTGCATTTAAAACCAAAAATAAATATACTTAAAAAAAAACACAAATTTATTTCATTTAGAAGGCGTTAAATGGTACGACTGCGAAGAGTGTCCCTTCAAAACAAAGCATAAAAAATCCTTAAAGGAGCACGTAATGGCTAAACAGCTGAACGAAGAAAAAATTAGATGGTACGAGTGTGAAGATTACCCGTTCAAAACTATGTGACCGTTGGGTGTGAAAAAGCACGTGCTTTCTCGACATTGTAATATTTACAAAACAAAAACTAGCAAAGTAGGAAAAAGTATAATTTAGCGCCGCCCACCCACCCGTTGTATATTTTTTTTCAGAGGGTTGGGTGGTAGAAAAGATGGCCGCTTTGTGGTGGGAGGTGAATTGCGTCATTGTTGTTTGGGTTTCGTGAGTGAGAGTATGGTGAAAGGACGCTCTAAGTTAGCCAGGTTAAATTAGTTGGTTTGGTACTTAATAAAGGGGAGGAATCATTTGTTTAACGACAATTTTAATCTCGCATAAGAATTATTTGTTATTTAAAATTTTTCTTTTTGAAACTTTAATAACACTTGTTCAGTTGTCGTTAATATCAGAGTCATAGAAATTGAACATTTAAAATTGAATTGAGGTAAACAACACCGAAATACGTGGCAGAAGCGGAGTGCGCGGTTCCCAGTCGAGCTACCGTCTTCTAAATGAAATAAATTTGGGTTTTTTTAAAGTATATTTATTTTTGGTTTTAAATGCACAATTTTCACATTTTCGTACAATTCAATGTCTTAATATTGGGACTGAAATGATTTGATATCTGAATGGCGATCACTTAAATGCAGTTTTAAATTACTTTCTCTTTTAGTTTTATACGAACAGCTGGCACATTCGTACCACTTAACTTCTTCTTCACTCAAATGTTGACTAATCACGTGACATCTTAAAGCCGAGCGATGTTTAGTTTTGAACGGGCACTTTTCGCATTCGTGCCACTTAATTTTTTCTTTCTCTACATGTTTAGCATTGAAGTGGTTGTTTAAAGATTCCTTGTACTTAGATTTGAATGGACACTTCTGGCATTCGTACCATTTAACGTCTTCTGTCCGCGAATGTACGTTACTCATGTGGCTTTTTAAATTCTTTTTTGATCTAGTTTTGAAAGGACATTTTTCGCACTTGTGGCATTGAGCATCCTGTTCACACTTGTCCCGCTTACAATCGGAATTGTGGTTGTATAAATGCTCCTTTAACTGACCTTCTACCTTAATTTTACCTGGACATGATTTGATATCTGAATGGCGAGCATTTATATGCAGTGTTAAATTATTTTTTCTTTTAGTTTTAAACAAACAGTTCGCACATTCGAACCACTTCACTTCTTCTTCACTCAAATGTTGACTTAGCACGTGATGTTTTAAAGTCAAACGATATTTAGTTTTCAACGGGCACTTTTCGCATTCGTGCCATTTAATTTTTTTTTCGTCTATATGTTTCAAACTCAAGTGGTTCTTTAAAGATATCTTGTATTTCGACTTGAATGGACACTCCTTGCATTCGTACCACTTAACTTCTTCTTCACTCAAATGCTGATTAATTACGTGATGTTTTAAAGCCGAGCGATATTTAGTTTTGAACGGGCACTTTTCGCATTCGTGCCACTTAATTTTTTCGTCGTCTAGATGTTTCGCAATCACGTGTAAGTTTAAAGATTCCTTATACTTAGATTTGAATGGACACTCTTTGCATTCGTGCCATTTAACGTCTTCTGCCCGCGAGTGTACGTTATTCATGTGGGTTTTTAAACTTCTTTTCAATCTAGTTTTGAAAGGACATTTTTCGCACTTGTGCCATTCACCATTTTCTTCGTGGCTCGGAAAACTCAGACTTTGAAGATTTTCTTTCCTTTCCGTGCATGCTGAAGTATGTTGAAGACAATTTATCAAGGAATTTGTTTCGAAAGCGCAGTTTTCGCAAACGTAGTTTTGTATGCTGAAGTCCTCGATTGAGAAAACTTCTCTAGATTCACTTTTAAGGCCATGATGTTTGTTAATGTGTTGTTTGAACAGAATCGTTAGATCCGTTTTAAAATCGCAGTCTTTACAATAATACGCTTCAATTTTGGCTTCGGAGCATGTAAATTTTTCCAGAGTTGAGTGATGTTGCCTCACGTGGTTCACCATAGACAAAATTGATGTTGTAAAATAGGGACACAGTTTACAGTTGTGGATGTTTTTCCACGAAGTTTTTCCCTGTGAAACCAGTGTTTTCGAATATTCCAAAGTCGACATTGTGGCCAACTAAAATTGTTTTATTACACCACGGAAGCAATTGCAATGTTAGTTACCTTTTCAATCTTGTTAAAGTAGTGTTAATGAAAATTATCCTCGTGATATTTAACACTGTGTTAGGTCCATTTTCTAAAACGACAGAATTCTAACCTAAGATTTTTACGTCACAACCATAGATATTGAATATAACTATAGATAGAGGATAGAGCATTCCTACTTATAAAAGACTATGTAGGCATAGATTAATATAGATGCAACATACAGTCTGAAGCGATTTGGTTGGTTTGGACTATAATTTCTGCGGGAAATAGTTGTTTAGTCGGTTTTTATAACGACTAGGTGAATATTTTTGGTACATATTTAGATGATTTTACATATTTTGTTTAACTAAGAATTAATTCTTTATTTGTGTTTTATACTATCTAAACGTCTTAAACCAAGAATATTGTTGAAATCGTAATAACCCAATGGATTTTTTTCGGGAAAATGTTTTGGAAACACTGTGTTCTATTTCGTATGAATTTTTAAATGTTTTTAGTGGCAATTTTTGTGGTTGTTGTCAATACACTGTATGATATTAACAGTGAGAAAAAAAAATGAAAAATTAAAATAATCGAAAATTTGAAAAATCGAGAAATCTAATAATGGAAAATCAGAACCTTAAAAAATCGTAAAACCGAAACATTGAAAAATCGAAATATCGAAGAACTGAAAATCGAAAAATGAAACATCAGAAATTCGAAAAAATGTAAAATTCAAAAATCTAAAATTTAAAAATCGTATAACGAAAAATTGAGAAATCGAAACTCCCAAATTTAAAAAGTCGGATAACTGAAAAATCGAAACTTCGAAAAACTGGAAAATCGAAAAACCGAGAAATCGAAAAATCAAAATATCAAGAAATCATGGAGTCGAAAAGTCGAAGAATTGAAAAACCGAAATAGGCCAAAATCGAAAAATCGAAAAGTTAAAAATTGAACAATTTATAAATTGACGATCAAAATATCGGAAAATCCAAATCTCGATAAATCGAGAAATCAAAAAATTTAAAATTCGAAAAATTGAAAAATTGAGAGATTGAATGATCAAAAGAACGAGAAATCGAAAAGTGATGAAGTCGAAAAATTGAAAAATAGAGAAATCGACAAACAAAAAGTTAAAAGTTGAAAAATTGGAAAAGCGGAAAAATAAAAAAACGAAAAAATGGAAAACTGGAAAAAATGAGAAACCGAAATAGGCCAAAATAAAAAATTGAAGAACTGAAATGTCGAAAAACTGAGAAATTAAAAAATTGAAAAATTGAGAAATCGAAAAATCAAAAAAGTGAAGTTGAAAAATCGAAACCTGAAAAAATGGAAAAACTGAAAAACCAAAAAACCTGAAAAATCAATTAATTGAAAAATCGACAAATAAAGAGTTTATAAAAGTCAAAAATTGAAAAATCGAAATATTTAAAAATCGTAAAATTGAAGAGAAAAACTGAAAACCGAGAAATTGAAAAATTGAGAAATTAAAAATTAAATAATAAATAGGAGTAAACTGAAAAGTCCCCAAACTAAAATTTCGAAAAACTGAGAATTCGAAAATTGAAACAGCAAGAAATTATAGGTTAGGATTGAAAAATTGAAATATCGAAGAACTGAAATGAAAAATTGAGAAATCGAAAAATCTAAAACTTTAAAAAGTAAAAAGTCGAAAAATTGAAACAGCCGAAAAAGTAAAAAAGTCGATACATCGAAAAATCCAGGAGTCAAAAATCGAAAAGTCAAAGAATCAATATATTGAAAAATCCCAAAACTGAGATATCGAAAAACTGAAACATGAAAGTAAAACTGAAAAATGGGAAAACCTGAAAAATCCGAAAACTGAAATGTCCAAAAACTCAGAACGTAAAAATTCAAAAAAATTGAGCAATCGAAAAATCCATAAAGTGAAGTCGAAAAATCGAAACCTTAAAAAAACTAAAAAATGAAAAATCAAAAACCTGAAAAATCGAAAAATTAAAGAATTGAACAGGAATATCGAAACCCTCGAGAGTCAAGAAATGGGAAAATCAAAACATCGATTAATTGAAAAATCGAAAAATTAACAGTTTATAAATGTCAAATTTGCAAAATTGAAAAATCGAAAATTTAAAAAAACGACAATTGAAAAACAGAAAATCTAAAACCGGAAAGTCGAAAAATCGAAAGATTAAGAAATCGAAACATTTGAAAAATTGGAATATGGAAGAACTGAAATGAAAAATCGAGAAATAGAAAAATCTAAAATTTTAAATATTGAAAAATTAAAATACAAAAAAATTGAGAAATCTAAAATTTAAAAATCGAAAAAGTAAAAAGTCGACACATCGAAAAATCCAGAAGTCAAAAATGGAAAAGTCGAAGAACAGAAATATTGAAAAATCCCAAAACTGAAATATCGAAAAACTGAAAAATGAAAGAAAAACTGACGAATCGAAAAACTGAAATGAAAAATCGAGAAATCAAAAAATCTAAAATTTTAAAAATTAAAAAATCTAAAATTTAAAAATCGAAAAATTGAAAAATCGAAAAAGTAAAAAAGTCGACACATGGAAAAATCCTGGAGTCAAAAATCGAAAAGTCGAAGAATCAAAATATTAAAAAATCCCAAAACGGAGATATCGAAAAACTCAAAAATGGGAAAACCTGAAAAATCCGAAAACTGAAATATCCAAAAACTGAGAACCTAAAAAGTCAAAAAATTGAGCAATCGAAAAATCCATAAAGTGAAGTCGAAAAATCGAAACCTTAAAAAAACTAAAAAATGAAAAATCAAAAACCTGAAAAATCGATAAATTAAAGAACTGAACAGGAATATCGAAACCCTCGAAAGTCAAGAAATGGGAAAATCAAAACATCGAACAGTTTATAAATGTCAAATTTGAAAAATTGAAAAATCGAAAATTTGAAAAAACGACAATTGAAAAACAGAAAATCTAAAACCGGAAAGTCGAAAAATCGAAAGATTAAGAAATCGAAACATTTGAAAAATTGAAATATGGAAGAGCTAAAATGAAAAATCGAGAAAAAGAAAAATCAAAAATTTTAAATATTGAAAAATTAAAATACAAAAAAATTGACAGATCTAAAATTTAAAAATCGAAAAAGTAAAAAGTCGACACATCGAAAAATCCAGAAGTCAAAAATGGAAAAGTCGAAGAACAGAAATATTAAAAAAATCCCAAAACTGAAATATCGAAAAACTGAAAAATGAAAGAAAAACTGACGAATCGAAAAACTGAAAAATCCCAAAACTGAAATATCCAAAAACTGATAATCTAAAGAATCGAAAAATTGAAAAATCAAAAATCTGAAAAATCGTAACATCGAAAAACTGAAAAATAAGTAAACTGAAAAATCCTAAAACTGAAATGTCGAAAAACTGAGAAATTAAAAAATTGAAAAATTGAGAAATCGAAAAATCAAAAAAGTGAAGTTGAAAAATCGAAGCCTGAAAAAATAGAAAAATTGAAACACCAAAATACCTAAAAAATCAATTAATTGAAAAATCGAAGAACTGAAATGAAAAATCGAGAAATCGAAAAATCTAAAACTGTAAAAATTAAAAAATCTAAAATTTAAAAATCGAAAAATTGAAAAATCGAAAAAGTAAAAAAATAGACACATCGAAAAATCCAGGAGTCAAAAATCGAAAAGTCGAAGAATCAAAATATTGAAAAATCCCAAAACTGAGATATCGAAAAACTGAAAAATGAAAGAAAAACTGAAAAACGGGAAAACCTGAAAAATCCGAAAACTGAAATATCCAAAAACTGAGAACCTAAAAAGTCAAAAAATTGAGCAATCGAAAAATCGAAACTAAAAAAACTAAAAAATGAAAAATCAAAAACCTGAAAAATCGAAAAATTAAAGAATTGAACAGGAATATCGAAACCCTGGAAAGTCAAGAAATGGGAAAATCAAAACATCGATTAATTGAAAAATCGAAAAATTAACGTTTATAAATGTGAAATTTGAAAATTGAAAAATCGAAAATTTGAAAAAACAACAATTGAAAAACAGAAAATCTAAAACCGGAAAGTCGAAAAATCGAAAGATTAAGAAATCGAAACATTTGAAAAATTGAAATATGGAAGAGCTAAAATGAAAAATCGAGAATTAGAAAAATCTAAAATTTTAAATATTGAAAAATTAAAATACAAAAAAATTGAGAAATCTAAAATTTAAAAATCGAAAAAGTAAAAAGTCGCCACATCGAAAAATCCAGAAGTCAAAAATGGAAAAGTCGAAGAACAGAAATATTGAAAAATCCCAAAACTGAAAAATGAAAGAAAAACTGACGAATCGAAAAACTGAAAAATCCCAAAACTGAAATATCCAAAAACCGAGAATCTAAAGAATCGAAAAATTGAAAAATCAAAAATCTGCAAAATCGTAAGATCGAAAAATTGAAAAATAAGTAAACTGAAAAATCCTAAAATTGAAATGTCGAAAAACTGAGAAATTAAAAAATTGAAAAATTGAGAAATCGAAAAATCAAAAAAGTGAAGTTGAAAAATCGAAACCTGAAAAAATAGAAAAATTGAAAAACCAAAAAACCTGAAAAATCAATGAATTGAAAAATCGACAAATAAAGAGTTTATAAAAGTCAAAAATTGAAAAATCGAAACATTTAAAAATCGTAAAATTGAAGAGAAAAACTGAAAACCGAGAAATTGAAAAATTGAGAAATTGTAAAATCCAAAAATTGAAAAATAAATAGGAGTATTAATGTATGCAACATACAGTCTGAAGCGATTTGGTTGGTTTGGACTATAATTTCTGCGGGAAATAATTGTTTAGTCGGTTTTTATAACGACTAGGTGAATATTTTTGGTACATATTTAGATGATTTTACATATTTTGTTTAACTAAGAATTAATTCTTTATTTGTGTTTTATACTAGCAAAACGTCTTAAACTAAGGATATTGTTGAAATCGTAATAACCCAATGGATTTTTTTCGGGAAAATATTTTGGAAACACTGTGTTCTATTTTGTATGAATTTTTAAATGTTTTTAGTGACAATTTTTGTAGTTGTTTTCAATACACTGTATGATATTAACAGTGAGAAAAAAAAAATGAAAAATTAAAATAATCGAAAATTTGAAAAATCGAGAAATCTAATAATCGAAAAATCGAAAGCTTAAAAAATCGTAAAACCGAAACATTGAAAAATCGAAATATCGAAGAACTGAAAATCGAAAAATGAAACATCAGAAAATCGAAAAAATGTAAAATTCAAAAATCTAAAATTTAAAAAGTCGGATAACGAAAAATTGAGTCGAAAAATCAAAAGATCAAGAAATCATGGAGTCGAAAAGTCGAAGAATTGAGAAACCGAAATAGGCCAAAATCGAAAAATCGAAAAGTTAAAAAAAATTGAACAATTTATAAATTGACAATCAAAATATCCGAAAATCCAAATCTCGATAAATCGAGAAATCAAAAAATTTAAAATTCGAAAAATTGAAAAATTGAGAGATTGATGCCCGTTTGCACCAACGTTACTTAAAATTTAAGCAGCTCTTAAGCGCAGAAATGCGTTGCACCAACATTTAACAAATGCTTACAACGCCCTATGAAGTCCTTAATATAAGTAGCAGTTCATCGGCGACTTAAATTTGTTTAGCAATTCTTAAAAACCGAACAGAACCGAATGTGGCCGAGATCGGGTGGATGTCATGGAAACGATCATAACAAAATTGAAATACACGCTTTTAAAAACAATCTGCAACATCCGGTATCTACCTGGACCGCAAAGTAAAATCCGAAATGTTTGTCTGGGAATCCGAAATTTCGGTACCATTCTCGCCATTGTGGCTGAATAGTGATAACGTGTTTTTTAATATTCGTTTAGTTTTGTTTTTTGAGAGCTGTGAGTAATAATAGTGTTGAATAAAAGTTACGGTAAGGTAAAATATTACCCAGTTAATAAGAAATATAGTGTAGCAATCAATTATTAATTATGTTTTAGATGAATACTAACAACAAAAGAACACGCGGCGCGAATTTTACGGCAGATGAGAGGGCTCTTGTTTTATCTTTAATTATTGATCGGCGTCACGTTTTGGAAAATAAAAAGACGGATGCCGTAACAAATAGAGAAAAACAGCAGTGTTGGCAAGAACTCACTGACGAATTTAATGCCCAATGTCCAGCAGGGGTGCTAAGGTCGATGATATCACTTCAAAAGTGGTACAACAACAAAAAAAAAGAGACAAGGAAAACTGTGGCGGAAAATCGAATGGTTTTTCGAGAAACAGGAGGCGGTCCTTCGGAAACGCAGGATGGTGGCCCAGAATTAGAGTTAACTTTAGCGGCAATGGATTCCACGACGGTGTATAGATTACCAACAAATTTTGGAGGAGACACCATTGGAGAATCGGAAGTATGATTAACAATTTTTTGTTTTACATGCTTGTTTAAAATGTGTTTATAATTGTAGCTTTTGCCAGATGATGAGGAAGATGACGATGAAAATGAATTCAGCGAGGAGGTAAACCCAGAAGATGTTAGTTCTAAATTTTAGTGTTTATTTCGATAATTTTTCTTTAAATATTTTAGTTTGCGAAACCACCAACTTCAAGGGCAATACCATCTTTTATCTCAAAATCAGTACCACTACCAGTAACATCAAGAAGAATGAAATCGTTAGATGCCGGCCAAGTTGTATGTACCTTGTAATATACACGCATTTTATTTTTACTTTCTTTATTTTTTTAGACTATATCAACTGATGCAGGCAATTTTGCGTCAACGCCAATCAAACGAAAATTGGATTCTTGTCCGGTTCAAAATCCGGTAAGTTATTCTCTATGCTGCTTTATGATTCCTACTCAAAATTTAATTACAGAATGTTCTCGAAAAACTCGACTGGGGCGATTATAAAACTGGCCATTTAAAAACACCCAGATCTCAACAACTGCATACAATTTCTTCGAGGAGGAGGCCTACACTACAGGCATTGCATTCTAGCCACATATCGAAAATGTATGATGAGTTGGCCAAGAAAAAATTGCAGTTAGCGGACGTGCAACTAGAAGAAATGAAAATTCAACTCGAAGAACGGAAAAAGGAAACGGAACGGAGGAAAACAGAATTTGCCCTAAAGAAAGAAGCTATGGAACTGGACATAGCAATAAAAAAAGAACAGTTAAAAAAACTAAAATTTACTAATATAGATTTATGATAATAAAATATTTAATGTTGCCTATTAAAAAAGTTTGTTATGTAACTCCTCCTAAACTCGTGTCCTGCTCCCCTTCTCTCCCGACCATTAATTGCTGCCGGAACTTCTGGAATGTTGCCAGCTTCAATCAACTGTTGTAATTCATGTTGGTTGATTTCTGCTGGCAATGGAGGGTCTTCTTCACCCCTTTCCCGGGCAATATTATGTAAGACTGCACAAGCAATTATTACTGCTAGCACAGTATCTTGTTTCAATCTACATCCGTAGGCTAGAATGGGAAATCTTCTTTTCCACACCCCAAATGTTCTTTCTATAACATTGCGAGTTCGAATGTGTGCTTCGTTATAGAGTTGCTCCCCTTGTGTTTGTGGATTTAACATTGGAGTTAAAAAATAGCGACGAACAGGGTAACCACTGTCTCCTATATACCAAAACAAAACAATGAAATTAAACCGAAACCTTTGAAAAAACTGAAGATCCGGCAGATCATGAAAATGATCGGCTCTTAAATAAATTTGTCGCGGTATTCCCACTTCGATTAATTCAAGAACTTCGAGGTCGTCCTCAAACGCATCAAAATCCATTTTTGTAATAAAATAAAGAACAACACTACAGACTACACGTGAATTAGTTAGGTTATTGCGATAAATTAGGTTAAACAAATGTCAGTTTTGTGTCTGTTACCAACAGAATTTGTTATTTCAAATAAAGTCACTAGCTAAGTATTGCTTTGTTATGTCAACGTTAAGATGCGTTGGTGCAACACCCAAGTACTTTAAGAACTGCTTAAAGTTAAAAACTTCTTAGCTAAGGAATGCTTAAATCGAATGTTCGTGCAAACGGCCCTAAATATATTTGTTTTTGTTTGTATAATGATAAGACCAGCAAACTTGTAGGATAGAAGTATATTGACAATAATAAGTGTAGGTATATACAAAAAAGATTTAGAGAATATGTGACCTCACGGTCGAGAAGTATTTTAGTCAGTCCTGTCTGTGTATTGAATTCCATTTTACCTGGTGGTTCTCACCACCCTTATTTCAAAGTGGGTGGTGGCTCTGGCCCACCCTTGCGAGTGGAGGGGACGGAACAGATGTCCCCGCCAGGAGCGCTAACAATATTTTTGATCTAGTTTTGAAAGGACATTTTTCGCACATGTGCAATTCAGCAGCCTGTTCACACTTGTACCGCATACAATCGGAATGGTGGTTGTATATACGCTCCTTTAAATGACCTACCTTAACCTTACATGGACATGATTCACACTGAAGTGATTCGATATCTGGATGGCAAGCACTTATATGCAGTTTTAAATTATTTTCTTTTCTAGTTTTATACAAACAGTTGGCACATTCGAACCACTTAACTTCTTCACTCAAATGTTGACTAATCACGTGAGATCTTAAAGACGAGCGATGTTTAGTTTTGAACGGACACTTTTCGCATTGGTGCCACTTAATTTTTTCTTCCCCTACATGTTTCGCATTGAAGTGGTTCTTTAAAGATATCTTGTATTTTGACTTGAACGGACACTCCTTACATTCGTACCACTTAACTTCTTCTTCACTCAAATGTTGATTAATTACGTGAAGTTTTAAAGCTGAGCGATATTTAGTTTTGAACGGGCACTTTTCGCATTCGTGCCACTTAATTTTTTCGTTGTCTAGATGTTTCGCAATCACGTGTAAGTTTAAAGATTCCTTATAATTAGATTTGAATGGACACTCCTTGCATTCGTGCCATTTAACGTCTTCTGCTCGCGAGTGTACGTTATTCATGTGGTTTTTTAAACATCTTTTCAATTTAGTTTTGAAAGAACATTTTTCGCACTTGTGCCATTCAACAATTTCTTTGTACGTGACATTCTGGCTCGGAGAACTCAGATTTTGAATATTTTCTTTCCTTTCCGTGCATGTAGAAGTATGTTGACGCCACTTTATCAAGAAATTCGTTTCGAAGGCGCATTTTTCGCAAACGTAGTTTTGTATGCTGAAGTCCTCGATTGACAAAACTTCTCTAGATTCACTTTTAAGGCCATGATGTATGTTAATGTGTTGTTTGAACAGAATCGTTAGATCGGTTTTAAAATCGCAGTCTTTACAATAATACACTTCAATTTTGGCACTGGAGCATGTAAATTTTTCCAGAGATGAGTGATGTCGCCTCACGTGGTTCCCCATAGACAAAATTGATGTTGTAAAATAGGGACACAGTTTACGGTTGTGGATGTTTTTCCACGAAGATCTTCCCTGTGAAGCCAGTGTTTTCGAAAATTCCAAAGTCGACATTGTGGCCACCTAAAATAGCTTGATTACACCACGGAAGCAAATGCAATGTTAGTCACCTTTTAAATCTTGTTAAAGTAGTGTTAATGAAAATTATCCTCGTGATATTTAACACTGTGTTAGGTCCATTTTCTAAAACGACAGAATTCTAACCTAAGATTTTTACGTCACAACCATAGATATTGAATATAACTATAGATGAGGCATTCCTACTTATAAAAGACTATGTAGGCATAGATTAATATAGATGCGACATACAGTCTGATTTTGCAAAACCACCCTTATTGACATGATACCAATAGTCGACGCGAATAAAAAAACTTGTTTCACTACAACTTGTCGCCTGAGAACTTGTTTGATCTACAGACCAGAGCGCGCTCAGGCCAATGTCGACTCTAAGCGTTCAGAAGCGATTTGGTTGGTTTGGACTATAATTTCTGCGGGAAATAGTTGTTTAGTCGGTTTTTATAACGACGAGGTGAATATTTTTGGTACATATTTAGATGATTTTACATATTTTGTTTAACTAAGAATTGATTCTTTATTTGTGTTTTATACTATCTAAACGTCTTAAACCAAGAATATTGTTGAAATCGTAATAACCCAATGGATTTTTTTCGGGAAAATGTTTTGGAAACACTGTGTTCTATTTTGTATGAATTTTTAAATGTTTTTAGTGGCAATTTTTGTGGTTGTTGTCAATACACTGTATGATATTAACAGTGAGAAAAAAAAATGAAAAATTAAAATAATCGAAAATTTGAAAAATCGAGAAATCGAATAATCGAAAAATCGAAACCTTAAAAAATCGTAAAACCGAAACATTGAAAAATCGAAATATCGAAGAACTGAAAATCGAAAAATGAAACATCAGAAAATCGAAAAAATGTAAAATTCAAAAATCTAAAATTTAAAAATCGAATAACGAAAAATTGAGAAATCGAAACTCCCAAATTTAAAAAGTCGGATAACTGAAAAATCGAAACTTCGAAAAACTGGAAAATCGAAAAACCGAGAAATCGAAAAATCAAAATATCAACAAATCATGGAGTCGAAAAGTCGAAGAATTGAGAAACCGAAATAGGCCAAAATCGAAAAATCGAAAAGTTAAAAATTGAACAATTTATAAATTGACGATCAAAATATCGGAAAATCCAAATCTCGATAAATCGAGAAATCAAAAAATTTAAAATTCGAAAAATTAAAAAATTGAGAGATTGAATGATCAAAAGAACGAGAAATCGAAAAGTGATGAAGTCGAAAAATTGAAAAATAGAGAAATTGACAAACAAAAAGTTAAAAGTTGAAAAATTGGAAAAGCGGAAAAATAAAAAAACGAAAAAATGGAAAACTGGAAAAAATGAGAAACCGAAATAGGCCAAAATAAAAAATTGAAGAACTGACAAATCGAAAACCTGAACAATCAAATCTCGATAAATCGGGAATGAAAAATTAACAAATCGAAAAATTGAAAAAAAGAACATCTAAAACCAGGAAGTCGAAAAATCGAAAGACTCAGAAATATTGAAAAACTAAAATATCAAAAGATTGAACAATCTAAAATTTAAAAATCCAAAAATTGAAAAATCGAAAAAGTAAAACACATCGAAAAAACCAGAAGTCAAAAATAGAAAAACCGAAGAATTGAAATATTGAAAAATCCTAAAACTGAAATATCTAAAAACTGAAAAATCGAAAAATCAAAAAAGTGAAGTCGAAAAATAGAAACCTTAAAAATCGAAAAATTGAACAATCAAAAAATTAAAGAATTGAAGAACAGAAAAATCGAAACACTCGAAGGTCAAGAAATCGGAAAATCAAAACATCGATTAATTGAAAAATCTAAAAATTGAGAGTTTATAAAAGTCAAATTTGAAAAATTAAAAAATCGAAAATTTGACAAAATGACATGTGAAAAACAGAAAATCTAAAACCGCGAATTCTAAAAATCAAAAGATTAAGAAATGGAAACATTCGAAACATTCGAAAACTTGAAAAATTGAAATATCGCAGAACTGAAATGAAAAATCGAGAAATCGAAAAATCTAAAATTTTAAAAATTAAAAAATCTAAAATTTAAAAAGTAAAAAAATCGACACATCGAAAAATCCAGGAGTCAAAAAATCGAAAAGTCGAAGAATCAAAATATTGAAAAATCCCAAAATTGAGATATCGAAAAACTGAAAAATGAAAGAAAAACTGAAAAATGGGAAAACCTGAAAAATCCGAAAACTGAAATATCTAAAAACTGAGAACCTAAAAAGTCAAAAAATTGAGCAATCGAAAAATTCATAAAGTGAAGTCGAAACCTTAAAAAAACGAAAAATTGAAAGATCAAACACCTGAAAAATCAAAAAATTAAAGAATTGAAGAACAGGAAAATCAAAACATCGATTAATTGAAAAATCGAAAAATTAAGAGTTTATAAAAGTCAAATTTGAAAAATTAAAAAATCGAAAATTTGACAAAATGACAATTGAAAAACAGAAAATCTAAAACCGGGTAGTCGAAAAATCAAAAGATTAGGAAATGGAAACATTCGAAAACTTGAAAAATTGAAATATCGCAGAACTGAAATGAAAAATCGAGAAATCGAAAAATCTAAAACTTTAAAAACTAAAAAATCTAAAATTTAAAAATCGAAAATTTGAAAAATCGAAAAGTTGAAGAATCAAAATATTGAAAAATCCCAAAACTGAGATATCGAAAAACTGAAAAATGAAAGAAAAACTGAAAAATGGGAAAACCAGAAAAATCCGAAAACTGAAATATCAAAAAATTGAGAACCTAAAAAGTCAAAAAATTGAGCAATCGAAAAATCCATAAAGTGAAATCGAAAAATCGAAACCTTAAAAAAACTAAAAAATGAAAAATGAAAAACCTGAAAAATCGAAAAATTAAAGAATTGAACAGGAATATCGAAACCCTCGAAAGTCAAGAAATGGGAAAATCAAAACACCGATTAATTGAAAAATCGAAAAATTAGCAGCTTATAAATGTCAAATTTGAAAAATTGAAAATTCGAAAATTTGAAAAAACGACAATTGAAAAACAGAAAATCTAAAACCGGAAAGTCGAAAAATCGAAAGATTAAGAAATCGAAACATTTGAAAAATTGAAATATGGAAGAGCTAAAATGAAAAATCGAGAATTAGAAAAATCTAGAATTTTAAATATTGAAAAATTAAAATACAAAAAAATTGAAAAATCTAAAATTTAAAAATCGAAAAAGTAAAAAGTGGACACATCGAAAAATCCAGAACTCAAAAATGGAAAAGTCGAAGAACAGAAATATTGAAAAATCCCTAAACTGAAATATCGAAAAACTGAAAAATGAAAGAAAAACTGACGAATCGAAAAACTGAAAAATCCCAAAACTGAAATATCCAAAAACTGAGAATCTAAAGAATCGAAAAATTGAAAAATCAAAAATCTGCAAAATCGTAACATCGAAAAATTGAATAATAAGTAAACTGAAAAATCCTAAAACTGAAATGTCGAAAAACTAAGAAATTAAAAAATTGAAAAATTGAGAAATCGAAAAATCAAAAAAGTGAAGTTGAAAAATCGAAACCTGAAAAAATAGAAAAATTGAAACACCAAAATACCTAAAAAATCAATTAATTGAAAAATCAAAGAACTGAAATGAAAAATCTAAAACTTTAAAAATTAAAAAATCTAAAATTTAAAAATCGAAAAATTGAAAAATCGAAAAAGCAAAAAAATAGACACATCGAAAAATCCAGGAGTCAAAAATCGAAAAGTCGAAGAATCAAAATATTGAAAAATCCCAAAACTGAGATATCGAAAAACTGAAAAATGAAAGAAAAACTGAAAAACGGGAAAACCTGAAAAATCCGAAAACTGAAATATCCAAAAACTGAGAACCTAAAAAGTTAAAAAATTGAGCAATCGAAAAATCCATAAAGTGAAGTTGAAAAATCGAAACCTTAAAAAAACTAAAAAATGAAAAATCAAAAACCTGAAAAATCGAAAAATTAAAGAATTGAACAGGAATATCGAAACCCTCGAAAGTCAAGAAATGGGAAAATCAAAACATCGATTAATTGAAAAATCGAAAAATTAACGTTTATAAATGTCAAATTTGAAAATTGAAAAATCGAAAATTTGAAAAAACAACAATTGAAAAACAGAAAATCTAAAACCGGAAAGACGAAAAATCGAAAGATTAAGAAATCGAAACATTTGAAAAATTGAAATATGGAAGAGCTAAAATTTTAAATATTGAAAAATTAAAATACAAAAAAATTGAGAAATCTAAAATTTAAAAATCGAAAAAGTAAAAAGTCGACACATCGAAAAATCCAGAAGTCAAAAATGGAAAAGTCGAAGAACAGAAGTATTGAAAAATCCCAAAACTGAAATATCGAAAAACTGAAAAATGAAAGAAAAACTGACGAATCGAAAAACTGAAAAATCCCAAAACTGAAATATCCAAAAACTGAGAATCTAGAGAAACGAAAAATTGAAAAATCAAAAATCTGCAAAATCGTAACATCGAAAAATTGAATAATAAGTAAACTGAAAAATCCTAAAACTGAAATGTCGAAAAACTGAGAAATTAAAAAATTGAAAAATTGAGAAATCGAAAAATCAAAAAAGTGAAGTTGAAAAATCGAAACCTGAAACAATAGAAAAATTGAAAAACCAAAAAACCTGAAAAATCAATTAATTGAAAAATCGACAAATAAAGAGTTTATAAAAGTCAAAAATTGAAAAATCGAAATATTTAAAAATCGCAAAATTGAAGAGAAAAACTGAAAACCGAGAAATTGAAAAATTGAGAAATTAAAAGTCCCCAAACTGAAATTTCGAAAAACTGAGAATTCGAAAGTTGAAACAGCAAGAAATTATAGGTTAGGATGTGTATCAGATCACGGATCGTGGCTTATAAATCAAATCGTTTCCGAACGTTTAGAGTCGACATTGGCCTGAGTGCGCTCTGGTCTGTAGATCAAACAAGTAAGCAGCTTGTAATATTCTGGTAAATCTAGTGTCAATTTATCGAAACTAAAACGCGTCGTTAAAAATATTATGACATGTTTTCTAGTTAATTTTATTCCTAGTCAGAAACCAACACTGATGACGCTTCTTTATGTTCTCTGGTGCTAATCATCCGTTCCGAATTTTAAGGTTATGTAAGTTAATTGACCGGTTGAAATTGTTTATTGTTTCCGGTTTTAACTGCACTCCAACAAAATTTGGGTAAAAAAACTGCCATTATTCCACCGTTGTGTGATAAAACGATTTTAGGTGGCCACAATGTCAGTTTTGGAATACTGTGAAGCCTTCCTAACAGACGGAAAATCTTCATGGAAAAACGTTCACAACTGTAATCGATGCCCATATTTTACTACGTCATTTTTTCTTATGGTGAACCACATGAAACGACACCGTTCCTTCTTTAAAAAATTTACATGCGAAAACGCCAAAGTCGAAGAGTTCTACTGCAAAGATTGCGATTTTAAAACGGAACTAACAATTTTGTTCAAACAACACTTGAATAAATATCACGGCCTCAAGAGAGAGTGTGCAGACGACTTCAGTGTACAAAACTACGTTTGCGAAAAGTGCGCTTTTGAAACAAATCTCTTGTTAAAGTGGCTTCAGCATATTTCAGCGTGCAGGGGAAAGAAAGAAAACCTTCGAATTTTCACCCACAATAGTGACGAAATACGTTGGTATTACTGTACGGAATGCCCCTACAAAACTAGATTCAAATATAATTTAATTCGGCACATGAAAAGTCGCCACTTAAACAAACAACATGAATGCGACAAGTGTCCGTTTAAAACTGGCTGTGAAAGACGTTTAAAGACGCACGTGAGTCGGAAACATCTAGGCGAAAAAACAATTAAGTGGTACGAATGCGAAAATTGCCCATTCAAAACTAAACGGGGATCGAATTTAAAAGATCACGTAATTTGTCAACACACTAATGAGGACGAAGTAAAGTGGTACGAATGTGTCAGCTGCTCATATAAAAGTAAAAGAAAAGATTATTTAAAAAGACACGTGACTGTCCACCACTTGGATGTCAAATCATTCCAGTGCAAATTTTGCCCTTATAAAGCCAAATTGAAAAGTTATTTGAACGATCACATCAACAATCGCCACTCAAACGGAAAGAAATTTAACTGGTACGAATGTGACAAGTGTCCGTTCAAAAGTAAACGAAAAGGTGGTTTAAAAAGACACATTAATGCCATCCATTTAGACGAACAAGACGGTGAATGGCACAAGTGCGACAAATGTCCTTTTAAAACTAGGTCAAAATCGAATTTAAAGGACCACGTTAGCACCGTACACTCGAACGCAGAAGACGTTAAGTGGCACGAATGCGAACAGTGTCCATTCAAAACCATGTATAAAAAATGTTTAAAAACTCACATCATCGCAAAACATCTAGCTGAAGAAAAAATTAAGTGGTACGAATGCGAAAATTGCCCTTTCAAGACTAAACTCGCATCGACTTTAAAAAATCATGTGATTTTTCGACATTTGGATGAAGGGTTTAAGTGGTACGAATGTGGGAGCTGTTCGTATAAAACTAAAAAGAAAGCTACATTAAAAGATCATGTAACTGTCCACCATTTGGATGTCAAGTCGTTTCAGTGCAAATGTTGCCCATTTAAAACTAAGCTGCTGAGTTATTTAAAAAGTCATATGAAGAATCGCCACTCAGATGGGAATGATGTTAAATGGTACAAGTGTGAGCAGTGTCCTCATAAAAGTAGACGTAAATGTGATTTAAGAGTCCACGTAAATCGGATTCATGTAAAAGAACAAGATATACGATGACTTTTGATATAGTTTGTCTTTGTGAACACTTTTGTAGCACACTGTAATCGTTATTTCTGGAAATAAAAAATTGTTATAAATGACACGTGTATTGTGTGTTGAATAAGCAATTTTGAGGTTATGTCAACAATAAATCAAACTTACAAAGTAAATTAAATTCTAATTGTGTGCAGCCTTTCCATGTTAACAAAAACGTGATCTAATTTTACTTTTGTACGCACAGAGACGGTATTTGTGCCACGTAACTTCCGTTTTTTCCAAATTGCCTGTCACCAAAATAGCACGCAACCAGCAATACACACAAATGAGAAATATAATTATTAACTTATTATTTCTTGTGTTTGTTTCAGGGACTTGCCACTAGTTTCTGGTATCACGAAAACTGCGTACACTCCGCTCAAGAACGACACTCCCGAAAATACAAAAAACGGCACATTCATCCCAAACCAATTCCCGAAGTAATGATAGAACCCTAGGGCACAAACAGCCAAAATTCGAAACAAAAAGTCCTCATAGGCTATCCCTGCAGCTTTAATTCCGGCTGGAAGAAGTTCCGCGCTCAAAAGCTGAGGCAAATACCCCAAACCCAGTCTTTCAAAGACAGCATAGAGCAAAAATATTGCTATTGTCGTCCAGCTCATGAATTCGCTTTTAACACCAAAGCAAATACCAATCAAAAACGAACAAATCCCGGTACAAAAAGCAGAAATAATGAAAATCTTTTTCCTTCCGAGTTTGTCCACGGTGACCGTCTGCACCACAGTGGAAAATAAAACAATACAATAGAAAATAATCGCAACGTATTCGTTGCTGAGGAAGAATACAGTCGAAACGTCTTTCAGAATCGCGATGATGTTCATTTGCATTACCGTAAACCCGGTGAACTGTTGAAAACAGAGAAGAAGAGTAATTAGTAGAAGAACTTTTAGGTCTTGTTTTTTCAAACAAAACCGGTTTTTGTTGACAAGAGGTTCCGCTTCCACTGCTGCTACTATTTCGTTGAATTCTTCTTCATTGTCGCTGTTATTTCTCAATCTTCTTAAGGCATTTTTTGCGACTTCCACTCTTCCGCTTTGTAGTAGATAGTAAGGTGATTGCGGTAAAAAAGGCAAAATGATAAGTTGAATCAAACTTAAAGCTGCTCCAGCCACCGCGTGCACGTAGAATGCAGAAAATGGTACTACAGAGTAAACAAACAGCGTTCCAAGTGTACATAGAAGGTGATCTAAACTTGTCAAAAAACCTCGGATGTCGGGTCTTGCTATTTCTGTCAAGTACATGACGGTTGCTACATAGCACATACTTCCAGTAATTCCTCCTAGAACTCTACCTAAATACAAGTACTTTAGTTCGTTCGTGAATCCAATAATACACCATGCTGCCAGTGCTACCACAGATCCGACGTGAATTGTGTTTCTTCGTCCTATGGCTTCGGTCAGATACGTACTTAAAGGAAGTCCCAACAGTGCTGCTAGCAGGAAAGACGCTTCCAACCAAAATTCGTCGCCTTTTTCGATATGCATGGAATTGTTATTAGATTGGAGAACTTGTAAAGCAGGAGCGGACCAACCGAACTGCATGCCATCGGAGAACGAACTGAGACTTACTGGAAGCAAGTTAATACTTTGTTAGTAAATAAAATTAATACCGTACCAATCAGTGCAGGCCAAATCTGCGACAATATCGTAAGTAACAACGTTTCGGCTCTCGTTTTTTTCATCATTTATAATTTTTTCCAGTGTGACTACTCACAATAAAAATTTACTTAGATAAGGTGTGTGATTTACTTGCTTGAAATGGTTTATGCAAACACTGTTGACTACTCGGTTCGTCATGGAAAAATAATTTGATTTTAAAGGTCTTAAATAGTACGTATTTTACCATACTGATAACGAGTAAGTGCACTTATACAGAATGATAACAAAAACATAAACATTTCGGCGTTAACTAATTCATGAAACCTACTTACTTACTGACTGCGTATCGTATACCAATTTTTTCGCACCGGCACTTCACTGTTTTCACCAAAGAGGTAATATAATAATTATTTAATTTTGAATTTTTATCTTATCATTTATGTATAAGCATTCTTAATTTAAGACAACAAGCGGTAACACTTATCGGGATTGTATACGTGAGAGTGAAACAGATAAACCGGAAACAATGTCGATGGTCGTCCAGACTTTTAAAAGGCAAAATTTAGCCCCGCCCACCCACCCTGTCTCAATTGTAATGATTTTTGTTATTCGTCGTGAGTCAAGAGGGCGGAGCTTAACTGCAAAATCCTTATTTCTCTACGAGAAATTAAAAACAAAGATTAAGCCCCACCCACACCTGCCCTGATCTAAATTCGTAGTAATGAAGTTTTCATTTGTTGCCACGCCTAGAGGCGGAGCCTAATCGTAAGAGTCATATTTCCCTACAAAAATTTACCATTTTAAACGTGTTTGTTTTAATTTTTGTGGATTTCTTTTCGCAACATGAAACTTAAAACATGTTTAAAATGGAAAATTTGTATAAGGAAATATTTACATGCTTTAAGTTACTTGTTGTGAAAAGATGGCTATGATATTAAGAAAAAAAGCCAAAATATAAGCCCCACCCACCCGCCCTACCTCAGTTCTGATGATTTTTTTATTCGTCGTAAGCCGAGGGGCGGAGCTTAATTGCAAAATCCTTATTTTTCTACGAGAAAGTACCATGTGAAATATGTTCTTCCGTCTCGATCTCAATCGTGATGAATTTTTCATTCGTTGTCAGACTGAAGGGCGGAGCTTAACTGCAAAATCGATATTGTCTCTGGTAGGACTATGTCATTTGATGCAATTTAAAACCCATTTACTATATACAATTTTGAAGTGATGTCATCACATTATTGGTGGGAATGATTAGATAAATTTCAGTCTTATCGTTGCAAGTACTGCCCCCCCCCCTCTCCCTCTTCTCATTTTAGCGACTAATTTTATTTCTGTATAAGAAACAAGTTTCATTCAGAGCAGTTAAAATTAATCACCGAAATGGAGGCGGGTGGGTGGGCGGGGTATATGTTTTTCTGTAGAGTGGGAGTGAGAACTAATATAAATTGGGCTGTAATGGTGACTTTTTTGTTGTATTATTTATTATAAGATTTATTTCTTATTTCAGAAGAAAAAACTGAGAGAACGGGTAGGTGGGCGGGGCTAAATTTAAGTTTTTCCCAGTGAGTCTTTTATAGACAAGCAATAGGCCCTCCCACCCGCCCCGTCTTCTTTCTGGTGACCACTCTTAATACTGTTATTCATTAACAAAATTATTGTCTTATTACCATCTTTGGCAAATCTGTTAAACCGTTGGTGAGAAAACAGATAAATTGTTATTGTTATTTTTTATATAGAATCCCCAAGAATCGAATAGAGAATGGACATCACTTGTGTCTTGTGTCATTGGTTGATTGCTTTTTTTTGGTTATGTGCATCGAAATTGTTGAACTTTGTTAATGATTTGATTAACATCTGTCCAATGAACAATGAAGTGACAAAAGTAGAGTGCGTATACTGGAATGCTTTGTTTTTGACGTTAAAGTTTAAATAGACAGAAGCACACAAATAACGTAATTATAATATTTTTTAATTATCTTGCGGCAAAATTAATTTCCTATTTATAATTTTGTTTTCGATATTTCCGTTTTAGGATTTTTCAGTTTACTTATTATTCAATTTTTCGATCTTACGATTTTGCACATTTTTGATTTTTCAATTTTTCGATTCCTTAGATTCTCAGTTTTTGGATATTTCAGTTTTGGGATTTTTCAGTTTTTCGATTCGTCAGTTTTTCTTTCATTTTTCAGTTTTTCGATATTTCAGTTTTGGGATTTTTCAATATTTCTGTTCTTCGACTTTTCCATTTTTGACTTCTGGATTTTTCGATGTGTCGACTTTTTACTTTTTCGATTTTTAAATTTTAGATTTCTCAATTTTTTTGTATTTTAATTTTTCAATATTTAAAATTTTAGATTTTTCTATTTCTCGATTTTTCATTTTAGCTCTTCCATATTTCAATGTTTCAAATGTTTCGATTTTTTAATCTTTCGATTTTTCGACTTTCCGGTTTTCGATTTTCTGTTTTTCAATTGTCGTTTTTTCAAATTTTCGAATTTTCAATTTTTCAAATTTGACATTTATAAGCTGCTAATTTTTCGATTTTTCAATTAATCGATGTTTTGACTTTCGAGGGTTTCGATATTTCTGTTCAATTCTTTAATTTTTCGATTTTTCAGGTTTTTGATTTTTCATTTTTTAGTTTTTTTAAGGTTTCGATTTTTCGACTTCACTTTATGGATTTTTCGATTGCCCAATTTTTTAACTTTTTAGGTTCTCAGTTTTTGGATATTTCAGTTGTCGGATTTTTCAGTTTTTCTTTCATTTTTCAGTTTTTCGATATCTCAGTTTTGGGATTTTTCAATATTTTGATTCTTCGACTTTTCAATTTTTGACTCCTGGATTTTTTTTTACTTTTTCGATTTTTCAAATTTTTGATTTTTAAATCTTAGATTTTTTAATTTTTAAAGTTTTCAAGTTTTCGAATGTTTCGAAAGTTTCCATTTCTTAATCTTTTGATTTTTCGACTACCCGGTTTTAGATTTTCTGATTTTCAATTGTCATTTTGTCAAATTTTCGATTTTTTAATTTTTCAAGTTTGACTTTTATAAACTCTCAATTTTTCGATTTTTCAATTAATCGATGTTTTGATTTTCCCATTTCTTGACATTCGAGTGTTTCGATTTTCAATTCTTTAATTTTTTGATTTTTCAGGTTTTTGATATTTCAATTTTTCAATTTTTTAAGGTTTCGACTTCACTTTAGGGATTTTTTGATTGCTCAATTTTTTCACTTTATAGGTTCTCAGTTTTGGATATTTCAGTTTTCGGATTTTGCAGGTTTTCCCATTTTTCAGTTTTTCTTTCATTTTTCGGTTTTTCGATATCTCAGTTTTGGGATTTTTCAATATTTTGATTCTTCGACTTTTCGATTTTTGACTCCTGGATTTTTCGATGTGTCGATTTTTTTACTTTTTCGATTTTTCAATTTTTCGATTTTTAAATTTTAGATTTTTTAATATTTAAAGCTTTAGATTTTTCTATTTCTCGATTTTTCATTTCAGTTCTTCGATATTTCAATTTTTCAAGTTTTCGAATTTTTCAAATGTTTCGATTTCTTAATCTTTTGATTTTTCGAGTTCGCGGTTTTAGATTTTCTGTGTTTCACATGTCATTTTGTCAAATTTTCGATTTTTTAATTTTTCAAATTTGACTTTTATAAACTCTCAATTTTTCGATTTTTCAATTAATCGATGTTTTGATTTTCCCATTTCTTGACATTCGAGCGTTTCGATTTTCTTGTTCTTCAATTCTTTAATTTTTTGATTTTTCAATTTTTCGATTTTCGACTTCACTTTTTTGATTTTTCGATTTTTCAGTTTTTAGATATTTCAGTTTTAGGATTTTTCAATATTTCAATTCTTCGGTTTTTCTATTTTTGACTTCTGGATTTTTCGATGTGTTTTACTTTTTCGATTTTTCAATTTTTGGATTTTTAAATTTCAGATTGTTCAATCTTTTGATATTTAAGTTTTTCAATATTTCTTAGTCTTTCGATTTTTCGACTTCCTGGTTTTAGATGTTCTATTTTTCAATTTTTCGATTTGTTAATTTTTCATTCCCGATTTATCGAGATTTGATTGTTCAGGTTTTCGATTTATCAGTTTTTCAATTTTTTATTTTGGCCTATTTCGGTTTCTCATTTTTTCCAGTTTTCCATTTTTTCGTTTTTTTATTTTCCGCTTTTCCAATTTTTCAACTTTTAACTTTTTGTTTGTCGATTTCTCTTTTTTTCAATTTTTCGACTTCATCACTTTTCGATTTCTCGTTCTTTTGATCATTCAATCTCTCAATTTTTCAATTTTTCGAATTTTAAGTTTTTTGATTTCTCGATTTATCGAGATTTGGATTTTCCGATATTTTGATTGTCAATTTATAAATCGTTCAATTTTTAACTTTTCGATTTTTCGATTTTGGCCTATTTCGGTTTCTCAATTCTTCGACTTTTCGACTCCATGATTTCTTGATCTTTTGATTTTTCGATTTCTCGGTTTTTCGATTTTCCACTTTTTCGATGTTTCGATTTTTCAGTTATCCGACTTTTTAAATTTGGGAGTTTCGATTTCTCAATTTTTCGTTATTCGATTTTTAAATTTTAGATTTTTGAATTTTACATTTTTTCGATATTCTGATGTTTCATTTTTCGATTTTCAGTTCTTCGATATTTCGATTTTTCAATGTTTCGGTTTTTACGATTTTTTAAGGTTTTTTTTGGCGCTTGCGGACTCCAATGTCAATAAAGGTGGTTTTACAAAATCAGACTATATGTCGCATCTATATTAATCTATGGTCGAGTTCTATCTTTTTTGATATGTCATTGGGTGATTCATTTTTTGAGGTTATGAACATCGCAAATGTCAAACTAGTCAAAGAGGTTTTATATGTAAATAGTTACTTAGTCATACGTTTGGGAAATGTCGTAATCTTGTTAAGAAATTTCTAAACAATTTCTCAGCTCGTATTCCTTGATTGACGATTAAAAAAATCCGTCTAATGACGTAACAAAAGTAGAGTGAGTTGGCAAAATCGAACCGTCAACTACAGCGTCAAAAAGTTAGGTTAGGACACTGACGTTGCAGTTACAAACCTACTTCGACGAAATTCAGGTAACTAAAATTGCACTTTTTCCGTAACATATTAAGGCGATTTCAGGCAACCGAAATGTCAACTTTGGAATATTCCGAAACACTTGCAGCACAGGGAAGATCTTCATGGAAAAACGTCCACAACTGTAAACTATGTCCGTATTTTACAACATCCTTCTTTCTTATGGTGAACCACGTGAAACGACACCGGTCATCCCTGAAAAAATTTAGCTGCACGAACGCCAAAATTGAATTGTATTATTGTAAAGACTGCGAATTTAAAACGGAACTAACGATTCTGTTCAAACAACACATCAATGAGTATCATAGAGTTAAAAAAGAATCCGAAGAAGACGTTAAATGGTACCGATGCAGACAGTGTCCATTTGAAACCAGATACAAAGAATTTTTTAAGAAGCACCTAACTGCGGAACACCTAGCTGAAGAAAAAGTCAAGTGGTACGAATGTACAATCTGCCCATTTAGAGTTAAACGATTGTCGAGGTTAAAAGATCACGTATTGGTTCAGCATACCGACGAAGAAGAAGTTGAGTGGTACAAATGTGGCAGCTGTTCTTATAAAACCATAAGGAAACAAAATTTAGACACCCATGTAACTCTCCACCATTCTGAAGACAAACCATTTCAGTGCAAACATTGCCCATATAAGGCTAAATTAAAATACTATTTAACCTGTCACATGAACAACTGCCATTCCGACGAAAATAATTTTAACTGGTATAAATGTGACAAGTGCCCGTTCAAAACTAGACGCAGATCGGATTTAAAAACACACACAAATTGGGTCCATTTGGATGAAAATTGGGACGGATGGTACAGATGTGAACAATGCGCTTACAAAACTAAAGCGAAAAGGAATTTAAAATTGCACGTCAATAACTTACACTCGAACAAAGAAGAGGTTAAATGGTACGAATGTGAAGAGTGTGCCTTTAGAACTAAGTATAAGCGTTCTTTGAAGACTCACGTCATTGACAAACATCAAGCTGAAGAAAACATTGTGTGGTTTGAATGTGAGAACTGTTCGTATAAAACTAAAAGGAAAGATAGTTTAAAGTCGCATGTTACTACCCACCATTTAGATCTTGTGGCGTCGTTTCAGTGTATATATTGCCCGTTTAAAACTAAGTTGAAGAAGTATTTAAATACTCATGTGAAGTTCCGCCATTTGAATGAAAATGTTGTATGGCACAAGTGTGATCAATGTCGGTATAAAACCAAAGTAAGATGTCATTTAAAGAGACACAAGAGTGTTAAACATTAAGAAAACTGGGATTGTATGAAAGTGTTAAGTGCTAGTATCCCGCTAAAATTGTGTATAATGGTATTAATAATGTTATTAAAAAAATAAATAAATAATGAAAACATGAACAATTCTCTCGTATTTATAGCATTTGGGTTCCTGAATGTGGTATATATTTATTTTAAATCTAAATAAAGCTGATAGAAATTGAAAAACTGAACAATGGAAAATTCAAAAAATTAAAAATCGAGACTAGCCTAAATAATTAAAAAAAAAAACGAGAAATTAAAATGTATAAGAATTGGAAAATCAAAAAATTGAAAAATTTAAAATTGAAACGAAAAATTAAAAATCAAGAAACTGAAAAATCGAAAATTCTAGGGAAATTTAAAAATCGAAAAACTCAAAACTCCGAAAATAAAGTCCAGAAACTGAAAAATTGCAAATCGAAAAATGAGAATTCAGATGTTTCGAAATTGAAAAAGTGAAAATTTTAGTACTGAAAGCTTTAAAAATTGAAATAAATATCGAAAAGAGGAAAATCGAGAAACAACTCACTCAATAATAAAAAAAAAACGAAAAATTAAAATGCAGAAACTGAAAAATCGAAAATTTTAAAAACTAAAATAACTCGACGTTTGGAAAAGTGAAAAATCGAAAATGGAAAAACTCAAAAGTTCAATAATTGAAAAAATGAAAAACTTAAAATTAAAAACTCGAACAACTAAGACGAAAAATTAAATATCTAGAAACTGAAAAATCGAAAAATTAAAAAGCTAGGAACTGAAAAATCGGGACATTTAAAAATCGAAAAACTGAAAATTCCAAAAATTAAAGTGAATAAAAATTGCAAAATCAAACATTTTAAGAAATGAAAAATCGAAAAATTGCACAAATCTTTGAACCATTGAAAAATCGGAAATGGAAAAATTCAAAAATTAAAAAACGGTAAAATTTAACATTAAAAATTCCAACAATTAAAAAGAAAAATTAAAAATACAGAAATTGAAAAATCGAAAAATTCAAAAATTAAAAATCGAAAAACTAGCCTAAATATTAAAAAAACATTATAATATATATATAAACTGGAAAATCAAAAAATTTAAGAAATGGAAAAATTGAAAAACTGGAAACTTGCAAATCTTGAAATATTGAAAAATCGAAAATGGAAAGATTCAAAAGTTCAAAAATTAAAAACTAAAAAATTTAAACAACTGAAGCGAAAAATTAAAAAAAAAGAAACTGAATAACAAAAAAATTTAAATCGAAGAAGTAAAAAGCGAAAAATCTAAAAATTGAACATCTAAAACCAGGAAGTCGAAGAATCGAAAGACTAAGAAATATTGAAAAACTGAAATATCAAAAGATTGAACAATCTAAAATTTAAAAATCCAGAAATTGAAAAATCGAAAAAGTAAAACACATCGAAAAATCCAGAAGTAAAAAATAGAAAAACCGAAGAATTGAAATATTGAAAAATCCTAAAATTGAAATAGCTAAAAACAAAAAATCGAAAAATCAAAAAAGTGAAGTCGAAAAATAGAAACCTTAAAAAATCGAAAAATTGAAAAATCAAAAACCTGAAAAATCAAAAATTAAAGAATTGAAGAACAGAAAAATCGAAACACTCCAAGGTCAAGAAATGGGAAAATCAAAACATCGATTAATTGAAAAATCTAAAAATTGAAAGTTTATAAAAGTCAAATTTGAAAAATTAAAAAATCGAAAATTTGACAAAATGACAATTGAAAAACAGAAAATCTAAAACCGGGTAGTCGAAAAATCAAAAGATTAAGAAATGGAAACATTCGAAAACTTGAAAAATTGAAATATCGCAGAACTGAAATTAAAAATCGAGAAATCGAAAAATCTAAAACTTTAAAAATTAAAAAATCTAAAATGTAAAAATCGAAAAAGTAAAAAAATCGACACATCGAAAAATCCAGGAGTCAAAAATCGAAAAGTCGAAGAATCAAAATATTGAAAAATCCCAAAACTGAGATATCGAAAAACTGAAAAATGAAAGAAAAACTGAAAAATGGGAAAACCTGAAATATCCGAAAACTGAAATATCCAAAAACTGAGAACCTAAAAAGTCAAAATATTGAGCAATCGAAAAATCCATAAAGTGGAGTCGAAAAATCGAAACCTTAAAAAAACTAAAAATGAAAAATCAAAAACCTGAAAAATCGAAAAATTAAAGAATTGAACAGGAATATCGCAACACTCGAAAGTCAAGAAATGGGAAAATCAAAACATCGATTAATTGAAAAATCGAAAAATTAACAGTTTATAAATGTCAAATTTGAAAAATTGAAAAATCGACAATTTGAAAAAACGACAATTGAAAAACAGAAAATCTAAAACCGGAAAGTCGAAAAATCGAAAGATTAAGAAATCGAAACATTTGAAAAATTGAAATATGGAAGAGCTAAAATGAAAAATCGAGAAATAAAAAATTCTAAAATTTTAAATATTGAAAAATTAAAATACAAAAAAATTGAGAAATCTAAAATTTAAAAATCGAAAAAGTAAAAAGTCGACACATCGAAAATTCCAGAAGTCAAAAATGGAAATGGAAAAATTCAAAAATTGAAAAACGGAAAAATTTAACATTAAAAATTCCAACAATTAAAAAGAAAAATTAAAAATACAGAAATTGAAAAATCGAAAATTTTAAAAGTTGAAATAACTCGAGGTTTGAAAAACTGAAGATCTAAAAACTGAAAAAACGCGAAAGTGAAAAATCGAAATATGGAAGAATTAAAAAATATTGAAAAACTGAAAAATAAAAAAATCGAAAAATTCAAAAATTAAAAATCGAAAAAATTTAAGCAATTGAAACGAAAAATAAAAAATCAAGAAATTGAATAACAAAAAAATTTAAATTGAAAAACTAAAAAGCGAAAAATCGTGAAAATTAAAAATCTAAAAATTGAAAAAATCGGAAATTAAAGTTTACAGAAATTGGAAAATCAAAATTTGAACCCATGAAAAATTGAAAAACCAGAGAACTGCAAAACTTGAAACATTGAAAAATCATAAATGACAACATTCAAAAGTTCAAAATTGAAAAACTGGAAAATTTAAAATTGAAAAGCCCGACAATTGAAACGAAAAATTTAAAATCAAGAAATTGAAAATTCTAAAACCTGAAAAACACTGAAATTGAAAAATCGAACAGTTTAAACATTGAGACAAATCCAGAGTTGAAAAAAAAAATCGAAAAATTAAAAACCGAGAAGGTGAAAAACCGGGAAACTCAAAAAGCTAAACTTAAAATTTGAAAAACCAAAAATTGCAAATGGAAAACTGAAATTTTAGAAATTTAGGAATTGAAGAACTGAAGATTTTGAGAGTGAAAACTCCAAAATTCAACTAAATGTCGAAAAATAGAAAAATCAAGGAACTTACCCACTGAAACAAAAACGAAAAATTAAAAAATACAGAAATCGAAAAATCTAAAAAATGAAAAGTTGAAAAATCGAAAATGGAAAAATTCAGAAGTTCAAAAATTGAAAAATTAAAAATTCTAAAAATTGAGGTATTGAATTAAATCGAAAGGTGAAGGAAGAACTGCGGAACTAATCGAAAAATCGTGAAAATTAAAAACTAAAAAATTAAAAAATTGAGAAACTAAATAACGAAAAATTGCAAATCAAAAAAAAGGAAAAATTCGAAAGTTTGAAAATTGAAAAAATTTCACACCGAAAACTCCAAAAATTGAACTAAAAATCGAGAAACGGAAAACCGAGAGCCGAAAAATTAAATAAACGAGATTCCAAAATAATTCGAAAATTGAAAAATCGAAAAATTTTGGAAACGGGAAATTGCAAATCGAAAAATGGAAAAATTCGAGTTGAATTGAAAAACTGAAAAATTTAAAACTGAAAATTCCAAAAATTAAAAATTAAGGAACTGAGAACCCAAAAAAAACTGAAAATTTTAATATTGAAAATTCCAAAAATTGAACACCACAATTCAATCGGGTAACTGAAAAATAAAAAAAAAACAAAAATTTAAAATTGAAAAATTGAACTAAAAAAATTTAAAAACGGCAAAACTCAAACTCAAAAAAACAGAAAAATTGAAGTAAAGAAAAATAGAAAATGGAAAGATTCAAAAGCTCAAAAATTAAAAACTAAAAAATTTGAACAATTGAAACAAAAAATTAAAAATCAAGAAACTGAATAACAAAAAAATTTAAATTGAAGGACTAAAAAGCGAGAAATCGTGAAAATTAAAAATCGAATAATTGAAATAATCGAAAAATTAAAATTTATAGAAATTGGAAAATCAAAATTTGAACCCATGAAAAATTGAAAAACCGGAGAACTGCAAAACTTGAAACATTGAAAAATCATAAATGACAACATTCAAAAGTTCAAAAATTGAAAAACTGGAAAATTTAAAATTGAAAAGCCCCACAATTGAAACGAAAAATTTAAAATCAAGAAATTGAAAATTCTAAAACCTGAAAAACACCGAAATTGAAAAATCGAAAAGTTTAAACATTGAGACAATTCCGAGTTGAAAAAAAAAAAAAAATCGAAAAATTAAAAACCGAGAAGGTGAAAAATCGGGAAACTCAAAAAGCTAAACTTAAAATTTGAAAAACCAAAAATTGCAAATGGAAAACTGAAATTTTAGAAATTTAGAAATTGAAGAACTGAAGATTTTGAGAGTGAAAACTCCAAAATTCGACTAAATGTCGAAAAATAGGAAAATCAAGGAACTTACCCACTGAAACAAAAACGAAAAATTAAAAAATACAGAAAGCGAGAAATCTAAAAATTGAAAAGTTGAAAAACCAAAAATGGAAAAATTTAGAAGTTCAAAAATTGAAAAATTAAAAACTAAAAAATTAAAAAAATGAGAAACTAAATAACGAAAAATTGCAAATCAAAAAAAAGGAAAAATTCGAAAGTTTGAAAATTGAAAAAATTTCGCACCGAAAACTCCAAAAATTGAACTAAAAATCGAGAAACGGAAAATCGAGAGCCGAAAAATTAAATAAACGAGATTCCAAAATAATTCGAAAATTGAAAAATCGAGAAACTGAAAAATCGAAAAATTTTGGAAACGGGAAATTGCAAATCGAAAAATGGAAAAATTCGAGTTGCATTGAAAAACTGAAAAAATTAAAACTAAAAATTCCAAAAATTGTGAAAAATCCTAAAAAAAAAAAAACCCTTTGACGTTTGTGACCTTGAACAATTGAATTCATAACCTCATTTTCCAAGCCGCTTTTAAACAAAAAACCTGCCAAATTTCCATTGCTTATCGTTTTCTATCCACCCCCGTCGCAACCCTCGTCCCGAAAGGTCTCACAAAACGCTATAAAAGAATTTCACGAAGGAGAATTTTGAGGTTATGTCAAGTTCTAACCTAACTGAGCTCCAACGAAATTTGGGTAAGAAAAGCGCCACAATCCTTCCACAGTGCAATAAAGCGGTTTTAGGTGGCCAAAATGTCAACTTTGAAATATGAAACATTCACAAGAAGTACGAACTTTTCATGGAAAAATGTGCACAACTGCGAACTCTGTCCATATTTTACAACTTCGGTCCTCTTGATGGCGAACCACTTGAGACGACACCGTTCAACACTGGAAAAATTCGCTTGTACAGACGAAATTGAACCGTATTGTTGCAAAGTCTGCGACTTTAAAACAGAACTAGTGATTGTTTTGAAACAACACATTAATAAACAACACAGAGACGATTTATCAAGCTTCAGTATACAGAACTACGTTTGCAAAAAATGCGACTTTGAGACAAATTTCTTGCTGAAGTGGCTTCAACATACTTCAGAGTGTACGGGGAAGCATCTAAGTGTGAGTTCCGACTTCAAGCTAATTGGCAAAACTGAGTTCAAAAATAGTTTAAAACTTCATATAGAAAGTCCCCACTTAAACAAACGACATGCATGCCACAAGTGTCCGTATCGAAGTAAATGTAAAAAAAGTTTAAAAATCCACATAAAGGTGGTCCACTTAGACTATCAAGATTGTGAATGGTACGAGTGCGAAAAATGCCCTTTCAAAACTAGAATAAAAAGTTATTTAAGAAACCACGTAAATCGCTTGCATTTGGACGACGAAGATGTTAAATGGCACGAATGCAGCGAGTGTCCATTCAGAACTAAGTACAAAAGTTATTTGAAAATTCACATAGCTGTGAAACATCTAGCTGAAGACAAAATTAATTGGTACGAATGTGATAAGTGCCCATTCAAGACCAAATCAGAAATTAAATTAAAAAACCACATATACAACGTACATCTGAACGAAGAAGAGGTTAAATGGTACGAATGCGAACAGTGTTCTTTTAAAACCAGATATAAAAGAAATTTCAGCAGACACGTAACTGCGAAACACCAAGACGAAGAAAAAATTAAGTGGTACGAATGCGAAAAGTGCCCATTCAAGACCAAATTACAACCTATATTAAAAAGACACATTCACAGCTTACATCTGAACAAAGAAGATGTTAAATGGTACAAATGCAACGACTGTGCATTCAAAACTAGGTACAAACGAAATTTCACCAGACACGTGACTATAAAACATCTACTAGACGATGAAAAAATTAAGTGGTACGAATGCGAAAAGTGCCCATTCAAAACCAAATTAGAATCGAAATTAAAAAACCACATACATAACTCACATCTAAACGAAGAAGATGTTAATTGCTACGACTGCAAAGATTGTAAATTTAAAACCATGTATAAAAAAAATTTCGAAAGACATTTAACTGCTAAACATCTGGAAAAAATTGAGTGGTACGAATGTCGCAATTGTCCATTCAAAACCAAACTGGCGTCGAAATTAAGACATCATGTGAAATATCACCATGTGGAGGTTAGGTGGTACGAATGTGCCAGTTGTTCGTATAAAAGTACGAGGAAGGAGAATTTAAAAACGCATATAACTATCCACCATTCGGATGTTAAATCGTTTCAGTGCGAATTTTGTCCATTTAAGACGAAACTGAGTGGGAGTTTGAAGCGTCACATGAATTGCCACCGGTTGGATGGAACGAGTGTTAAATGGTATAAGTGTGATCAGTGCTCTTATAAAGCCAAGAGTGGGGCACCTTTGTATAAGCACAAAAAAATACATTTATAAATTTCTATAATTTTATAACACTGTTATATGTTCTATCTTGTGACGTATAAATTAATATTATTGTCGATTTTCTTGATTTTTAATTTTAGTTTTCCGATTTTTCGATTCCATTGGAAAAATTTCACTTTTAAAAAAGTCGTCTAAAAATTCTGAAAAAATTCAGGGACGTAGATTTCGACGTGCTGATTCCAAAAATATAGGGTGTTGATGGTCACGGAGCAACATTTTCGAAAGAATCGCCACGAAATGCGAATTTTTGTGAATTTCTAAAAATTTCGATATTTTAACGGTCGATTCCGGAAAAACGGTTGCAGTTATCGAAGAAACGAGGCCGGAACTGAGTTCTAGAGCTCGAAATCTATAAGAAAATGTATTTAGTTGAGTTTCGAAAATGTCAAATTTGGCCGAAATTTGAAAAAGGGGGGACCATTGGAAAAATTTCACTTTTCAAAAAGATGTCCAAAAATTCTGAAAAAATTCAGGGACGTAGATCTCGACGTGCTGATTCCAAAAATATAGGGTGTTGATGGTCACGGAATAACATTTTCGAAAGAATCGCTACGAAATGCGAATTTTTGAGAATTTCTAAAAATCTCGATATTTCAACGGTGGATTCCGGAAAAACGGTTACAGCTATCAAAGAAACAAAGCCGGAACTGAAATCTAGAGCTCGAAATCTACAAGAAAATGTGTTTAGTTGAGTTTCGAAAATGTCAAAATTTGGCCGAAATTTGAAGAAGGGGGGACCATTGGAAAAATTTCACTTTTCAAAAAGATGTCCAAAAATTCTGAAAAAATTCAGGGACGTAGATCTCGACGTGCTGATTCCAAAAATATAGGATGTTGATGGTCACGGAGCAACATTTTCGAAAGAATCGGCACGAAATACGAATTTTTGAGAATTTCTAAAAATTTCGATATTTCAACGGTGGATTCCGGAAAAACGGTTGCAGTTATCAAAGAAACAAAGCCGGAACTGAAATCTAGAGCTCGAAATCTACAAGAAAATGTGTTTAGTTGAGTTTCGAAAATGTCAAAATTTGGCCGAAATTTGAAGAAGGGGGGACCATTGGAAAAATTTGACTTTTCAAAAAGTCGTCTAAAAATTCTGAAAAAATTCAGGGACGTAGATCTCGACGTGCTGATTCCAAAAATATAGGGTGTTGATGTTCACGGAGCAACATTTCCGAAAGAATCCGAACGAAATACGAATTTTTGGGAATTTCTAAAAATCTCGATATTTCAACGGTGGATTCCGGAAAAACGGTTACAGCTATCTAAGAAACGAAGCCGGAACTGAAATCTGGAGCTCGAAATCTATAAGAAAATGTGTTTAGTTGAGTTTCGAAAATGTCAAAATCTGGCCGAAATTTGAAGAAGGGGGGACCATTGGAAAAATTTCACTTTTAAAAAAGTCGTCTAAAAATTCTGAAAAAAATTTGAGACGTAGATCTCGACGTGCTGATTTCACAAATATAGGGTGTTGATGGTCACGGAGCTACATTTTCGAAAGAATCGGCACGAAATACGAATTTTTGAGAATTTCTAAAAATCTCGATATTTCAACGGTCGATTCCGGAAAAACGGTTGCAGCTATCAAAGAAACAAAGCCGGAACTGAGCTCTAGAGCTCGAAATCTACAAGAAAATGTGTTTAGTTGAGTTTCGAAAATGTCAAAATTTGACCGAAATGTGAAGAAAGGGGGACCATTGGAAAAATTTCACTTTTCAAAAAGATGTCCAAAAATTCTGAAAAAATTCAGGGACGTAGATCTCGACGTGCTGATTCCAAAAATATAGGGTGTTGATGGTCACGGAGTAAGATTTTCGAAAGAATCGCTACGAAATGCGAATTTTTGAGAATTTCTAAAAATCTCGATATTTCAACGGTGGATTCCGGAAAAACGGTCGGAGTTATCACAGAAACGAGACCGGAAGTGGGTTCTCGAGCTCGAAATCTACAAGAAAATGTGTTTAGTTAAGTTTCGAAAATGTCAAAAATTGGCCGAAATTTGAAGAAGGGGGGACCATTGGAAAATTTTCGCTTTTAAAAAAGCCGTCTAAAAATTCTGAAAAAATTCAGGGACGTAGATCTCGACGTGCTGATTCCAAAAATATAGGGTGTTGATGGTCACGGAATAACATTTTCGAAAAAATCGCTACGAAATGCGAATTTTTGAGAATTTCTAAAAATCTCGATATTTCAACGGTGGATTCCGGAAAAACGGTTGGAGTTACCAAAAAAACGAGGCCGAAAGTGAGTTCTAGAGCTCAAAATCTACAAGAAAATGTGTTTAGTTGAGTTTCGAAAATGTCAAAATTTGGCCGAAATTTGAAGAAGGGGGGACCATTGGAAAAAATTCACTTTTCAAAAAGTCGTCTAAAAATTCTGAAAAAATTCAGGGACGTAGATCTCGACGTGCTGATTCCAAAAATATAGGGTGTTGATGATCACGGAGCAACATTTTCGAAAAAATCGGCACTAAATACGAATTTTTGAGAATTTCTAAAAATCTCGATATTTCAACGGTGGATTCCGGAAAAACGGTTGGAGTTATCAAAAAAACGAGGCCGAAAGTGAGTTCTAGAGCTCGAAATCTACAAGAAAATGTGTTTAGTTGAGTTTCGAAAATGTCAAAATTTGGCCGAAATTTGAAGAAGGGGGGACCATTGGAAAAAATTCACTTTTCAAAAAGTCGTCTAAAAATTCTGAAAAAATTCAGGGACGTAGATCTCGACGTGCTGATTCCAAAAATATAGGGTGTTGAAGGTCACGGAATAGCATTTTCGAAAGAATCGCTACGAAATGCGAATTTTTGAGAATTTCTAAAAATTTCGATATTTCAACGGTGGATTCCGGAAAAACGGTCGGAGTTATCACAGAAACGAGACCGGAAGTGGGTTCTCGAGCTCGAGATCTACAAGAAAATATGTTTAGTTAAGTTTCGAAAATGTCAAAAATTGGCCGAAATTTGAAGAAGGGGGGACCATTGGAAAATTTTCGCTTTTAAAAAAGTCGTCTAAAAATTCTGAAAAAATTCAGGGACGTAGATCTCGACGTGCTGATTCCAAAAATATAGGGTGTTGAAGGTCACGGAATAACATTTTCGAAAAAATCGCTACGAAATGCGAATTTTTGAGAATTTCTAAAAATCTCGATATTTCAACGGTGGATTCCGGAAAAACGGTCGGAGTTATCACAGAAACGAGGCCGAAAGTGAGTTCTAGAGCTCAAAATCTACAAGAAAATGTGTTTAGTTGAGTTTCGAAAATGTCAAAATTTGGCCGAAATTTGAAGAAGGGGGGACCATTGGAAAAAATTCACTTTTCAAAAAGTCGTCTAAAAATTCTGAAAAAATTCAGGGACGTAGATCTCGACGTGCTGATTCCAAAAATATAGGGTGTTGAAGGTCACGGAATAGCATTTTCGAAAGAATCGCTACGAAATGCGAATTTTTGAGAATTTCTAAAAATTTCGATATTTCAATGGTGGATTCCGGAAAAACGGTCGGAGTTATCACAGAAACGAGACCGGAAGTGGGTTCTCGAGCTCGAGATCTACAAGAAAATATGTTTAGTTAAGTTTCGAAAATGTCAAAAATTGGCCGAAATTTGAAGAAGGGGGGACCATTGGAAAATTTTCGCTTTTAAAAAAGTCGTCTAAAAATTCTGAAAAAATTCAGGGACGTAGATCTCGACGTGCTGATTCCAAAAATATAGGGTGTTGAAGGTCACGGAATAACATTTTCGAAAAAATCGCTACGAAATGCGAATTTTTGAGAATTTCTAAAAATCTCGATATTTCAACGGTGGATTCCGGAAAAACGGTCGGAGTTATCACAGAAACGAGGCCGAATGTGAGTTCTAGAGCTCGAAATCTACAAGAAAATGTGTTTAGTTGAGTTTCGAAAATGTCAAAATTTGGCCGAAATTTGAAGAAGGGGGGACCATTGGAAAAAATTCACTTTTCAAAAAGTCGTCTAAAAATTCTGAAAAAATTCAGGGACGTAGATCTCGACGTGCTGATTCCAAAAATATAGGGTGTTGATGATCACGGAGCAACATTTTCGAAAAAATCGGCACTAAATACGAATTTTTGAGAATTTCTAAAAATCTCGATATTTCAACGGTGGATTCCGGAAAAACGGTTGGAGTTATCAAAAAAACGAGGCCGAAAGTGAGTTCTAGAGCTCGAAATCTACAAGAAAATGTGTTTAGTTGAGTTTCGAAAATGTCAAAATTTGGCCGAAATTTGAAGAAGGGGGGACCATTGGAAAAAATTCACTTTTCAAAAAGTCGTCTAAAAATTCTGAAAAAATTCAGGGACGTAGATCTCGACGTGCTGATTCCAAAAATATAGGGTGTTGAAGGTCACGGAATAGCATTTTCGAAAGAATCGCTACGAAATGCGAATTTTTGAGAATTTCTAAAAATTTCGATATTTCAACGGTGGATTCCGCAAAAACGGTTGGAGTTATCAAAGAAACGAGACCGGAAGTGAGTTCTAGAGCTCGAAATCTACAAGAAAATGTGTTTAGTTGAGTTTCGAAAATGTCAAAATTTGGCCGAAATTTGAAGAAGGTGGGACCATTGGAAAAATTTCACTTTTCAAAAAGTCGTCTAAAAATTCTGAAAAAATTCAGGGACGTGGATCTGGACGTGCTGATTCCAAAAATATAGGGTGTTGATGGCCACGGAGCAACATTTTCGAAAAAATCGCTACGTAATTCGAATTTTTGAGAATTTCTAAAAATTTCGATATTTCAACGGTGGATTCCGGAAAAACGGTTGGAGTTATCAAAAAAACGAGGCCGAAAGTGAGTTCTAGAGCTCGAAATCTACAAGAAAATGTGTTTAGTTGAGTTTCGAAAATGTCAAAATTTGGCCGAAATTTGAAGAAGGGGGGACCATTGGAAAAATTTCACTTTTCAAAAAGATGTCCAAAAATTCTGAAAAAATTCAGGGACGTAGATCTCGACGTGCCGATTCCAAAAATATAGGGTGTTGATGGCCACGGAGCAACATTTTCGAAAAAATCGC